ATATATATATATATATATATATATATATATATATATATATATATATATATATATATATATATATATATATATATATATATATATACCGTGTCATAGAAATATCTCTTAAAAGTTGTGCGTTTTTGTTTACCTTTTAATGTACCATAGCGAACATGTACCTTGAGCGAACAGCTATCGATTATAAGCTATAAAAAGTTTCTATCTCCGTTTCTATGGCTATGAGCATTCCAATAGCGGAGAACAGACGTAAGTCGATTTAGACTACGTCATTGATCAGGAATATATCTACTTTCTGGACGTTAGAAAGTGAAGAACAAATCTCTCAAGAATTATGTTCTTGTGCGCCACAACAAATATACCTCCTTTCATATTCGAAAAAAGAATACATTTCTTACAGAGGTGTAAGAAATAAAAGCGTTGTACTTCTGTATTTTTTAGTTAGTACACGCAGGTGAATCCAATCACTTGACTTGATTTTTCCGGTATGGCTCGAAATACCTCTTAATTAATTTATCGTGAAATCGCACGCAAAATTTTGTTCAAATTTTTAGTTTCCTTAATTTCTTACTTTCGTGTAAGCTAATGTTAGTTAGTTTGTTGATATTTGTGAACATAATAGTAGTCTTATTTTATTCTCATATTAATTTCTGATATTTTAGCATTATCCGCCTACCAAAAATATTTCAAAAAGAAGCGCAAAGCATCCTATGATTTGGCATTTCTATACGGCTTGGGTATAGTTTATTTTCACTTCAATGAATTTCGTTGGTAAGTATTTTCTACTTTTCAAAAGTAATTGTTTTAAAACTCCCTTATTACATATTTACACTGACATGTTTAGGTATTTAAGAAACTTAATTATTTTAAATGGACTTGTACATAGTTTGCAGCACAAAAAAATATTGTTTTCGTTGATTTTCAAAAATGTATTAAGAGAACATATACAGCATGTCAGTTGACCGATCTGCTAATTTTTAACTGAAATTCTAGGCAGATCTAGATTCAAATAATTAAATATTTAGTAGAATGAGGCCCGTAGATTACGTGCTTAAGACCAACCAAAAAGTATAGCTTGCAACCAAAAGACCTTTGTGTAAAGTTTGACTATAGTAATACAACTTCCTGCGATTATTTCTTAAAAAAATACAACTGATTTCAACTTTTTTTGATTGTAATATAACCTCCTGGGAATATCTCTTATAAATACAACTGATTTCCACTTACCTTAACATGTATGTATATGTATGTGTATAGATGTATTTAGGTGCGTTGGAAGAATTTTATAGAAAATCGAGCACACTAACGAGCACAAAGAATTTTATTAAAACTTTCAAAATATACGGCGAAATGTTGAAGTTGTTCAGTAAACATGGAAAATATATCGTAAGTAGCATGGCCAAAATTTTAAAAGAGTGTACTTGAACTCCCTAGCTCTGTGTAAAAAAAATATTAAATTGAAAATTATAACAGTAAAATGACGTTTCAGCAGTAAAGTGTAAATCATCATAAAACTTTTCCGAAAATGTAAACATACAGAATTTACAAGTTTCAAGCACACATACAAAATTTACAAGTTTACAAACATATAAAAATTTAAGATTTTTTGATTACTAGCACTTTGTGAAGAATGTAGTAAATGTGTATTTAAAATGTTGTAGCAGATGTACAATAATGAGCCATCTGGCAACATTGTTTGCAAAACTCTCCATAATTGACATCGTGTCTTTATATTACCTACACGCTGCTCTACGCTTTTAGTCACATATTGCCTTGAGACACTGCCGCCATAACTTTTATTATGTACTGCCTAAAGAATTATTTTTGTTTATATTTTTATAATACTAAATAATTGATAAGTGAAAGGACTTTATTAATGTTTACTTTTAAATGTAGTTTTGTGTTTTTTAAAGTTTGGAAATAATTTTGTGTGAAAAATTAAAACTGACAAAACGCGAAAAATTTTCCTGTTAAGGTACATACTTTATATTTTTATATTTTTGTGCGGACATCGACCTTGTGATTGGTATTTTCCACTTGAAACATAACAAAATATCCTGTTTATTCAACTTTCCTGATTGAAAATGTGTTATTTAAGAATATTTAATTAATACTAATTTTTATGTGATTAGTTGGGCTTAAAACACAATATTAAATATAAGAGATTCTAAAACATCAATAACTGTAGTACAATACAATTGTGCTGAAGCTACCCTATGTTTGCGTCCAACAATAAATGGGTTAAAGGAGGGTATGTCGCTGTTTGCTAGATTTTAATATGTTTACAAAAAAATACTCTTATGCTTTATGAAAAAATACAATTGTGCAGTTGCAAGCAACGTTTTCTATTAGGTTCTAATGGGCGTAGCCATAAAAAGGATTAATGGAATATAAAAGCGTTTGTTTTTAATAAAAGCCTACTCAAACTAACCTGTACGCACTTCGTAGTTTGATTGTAAAATATCTACTTTTATGTGCTTCAACCGTTATATGCCATTGATATATTCTTGTGCCTGCATGCCGCTTGTAAAGACTGAAGAATACGTTTAGACGTTTTTCTATTGATGGTATTTACTTCTTTTGCATTATTTAGGATAAGGGAGATGGGATTCGGTCCCGATCGAATTTAATTTTCTTACTTGTCTTTTTTTATTTTAGGTTTGTTAAGACAAATGTGGTCGGGTACAAAGATTCGGTGACAATCGAATATAATTTTTTTCTTCATATACACTTTTGCTGACACGGTCTCCACTTTTGGAATCACCCAGTCTTGGTGGCAAAATATCTATCTTTTAGTATTTGTTTGGGTTTCGGATATAGGAGACAGTCAAAGAATATGGCATCGGTTGACTGAGGTGATATTCCGCTAAGAAGTATTAAAAAATTTGGCAATCCTGAACATAATAATTCTTATGGTTTGGAGCACAATTTCTTAAATTTCATCTCCGCCGAAAATTTCATTGCTGCGCTAAACTAAATTTTTAATATAAAATCAAAAAACTGTTTTCTGAAACTCGCGCTGAATTTCGTCTTTTTTACTCGCTCGTTAATTGTCTTGTCTGCAAATATTCGCGTATGTTAGTGATAATCACTAGTCACAAAGTTTGTGAAATGGATATGTAAGAGGAGGCTCGTTCCCGAGCGCGTACATTTATTGCAAATCTTAAATTTGGAGGTATCCGCATTTTTAAACAGTAGTGTTAAAAGGCAAATATGTATTTGCCATACATATATTTGCATATGTTTTTTAAAAAATATTAGATTGATTTTTTAAGGAATTGCTTTAAAATCCTAACTATAATTTCAGGTCCATTAAAACTTTTCAGTTACTTCTATATTTGAATCCAAACTTTCCATGTGCAAACGAGGCCCATCTACGACTTGGATTTATGCAGAAAGTTTTGGGTGATTATAAGTCTGCAATTAAGCACTACCAGTTATCGTTAATTGATGAAGCTCCATGTACGTTAACAAAACAGAAAAGTAAGTATTGTATTTTAATTGAAAAGTTTATAGTTAGTGTATAGGTAGAATTTTGAAGCGCAAATAGTGATCCACTATTTAAAGCATGAAGTCAAAATTAAAACCGCTACTTTGCTTCAAATGAGAGCGCATCAGCTCATAGTTTTTAACGAAAGCTTTTAAGTGAAAAGTAATCCAAGGAAGTGGAAGCAAATGCCAAGGAGATGTAAATCTGCAAGAACAGAACGCAGACTCTTCATGTGTACAACATTTGGTACCTTATTAACATTAGATTTATTCAAGGCCGGCAATTTTGTTGTTGTGCAAATAAAGAGAGGAAGTTGAAATTTGTCACAAACATTCTTTGATCGATTAAAAATGAGCGTGATCTGCGCTTCTTGACACCCCCACAGTGCAGAAAAAATTAAGACAACTTCGGATAAGTTGCCAAGTTTATGATATTTTCGCCTACAGCTTCCGATAAGATGAAGATGTTTTCGAAACCCTGAGACCCAGAGGTTCGTCAGGGCCACTTTCATGATTAGTCCAAAAAAGGTTTCAACTGGTTTACTAGCTCTTCTTTTGTCTCAGGCGATGTCAACGAATATTTGAGTAGCAGATTTTTGGGTATATCTTTACAAGTTCGGAAGTTATAGACGAAATTATGACAATGCTGTCGTTTTTTGGAAGTTGTCTCAGTTTCTATGATAGTGTGGGCGTGTAGGTGAACAGATTTCAACCATTTTTTAGCCTTGTATTCTTAAATGTTCATGGAATGTTTTTGAGCGTCATCTAGAAAAAAAGAGTAGACGATATATATTTGCTACATTATATTAGTAAAAGCCAATACATAACGTTTGAAGATATTCTTCGCCGCAGCGAATTTTTAAAATCAACGCGTCAAAGTGCTGAGTACCGTAAATCTATTGCTAGTTGTAAGAAACTTTTGCCTTGAATTTGAATTTTCGTCATTTCCTTTTAAACATAAACGTATCTATTTTTTTCTAAGCTAATTTGGTTATCCATCTACACGTGAAAAACTAGGAAGTTTACCAAAAATAACAGAAGCTTTCCATCGAAATTTGAAGTAATTTGACATTGTTAAATACATTGACGGACATAAATGATGTAGGGTTCATTTTCATTGCGATGCAAAAGAACGCACATTCTAGAACATTTCGATATTGAAGGCAATTGTTTTCCATTTTATTTTGTACATTATTATTATTAATTTGTCAGAGAATTCATTCTAAGACGAAAGTCTTACAGCACTAGCGTCTAAGGCTGTAGTGTGTATTCAAATTCTATTTTTTATATAAACTATTACGATTGGAACCATTTTCTTGTGAACGTTGGATAATTTTTAAACAGCGGGCTAGGCGCTTTTTTTAATACATTTTGCAGGCTTTTTGATTTGCTGAATTTAACTTGACAAGAATAAAAAATAAATTTTCAAAATCACATAGGCTGTTCGCATCCAGATGTATTCGGTATACCAATTCTTCCACATGTTTTTATTATATGACAGATCCAAGACAACTCTTAAAAAATGGCAAAATTTCGTCATTCAGTTGAAAGATCTGCAAATATTTATTAAGATGGGCTGCCGATAGTTGAACTATGTATCTACTAGATTAGTAACTGAAATGTTAGAAAACTCACAGGAGCATATAAAAAAAAAGAAGACTATTCACAAGAAATCATAGGATAAACAATGCAGTTAAATAAATCAATTTGTTAACACTTGACTCGGCTCACAAAAGCTATTTAAGAACCAAGAACGAATAAGCACAGGACCGATTTGTCAAGACAAAAAAAAAAATAAATCCGCATGCGGTCTGAAGAAAATAACACTCTGATCGTACAATAGTTTGGAAGGCTATAAGGGAAAATCACTGTGTGCAATAAAGTCGCTCGTTCGCATTAACGTTGTAAGGACTAGAGCTTCCTATTTATTTTCTTCTTTTCTATATCAGCTTTCAATGCAAACGTACAAAACCTATGCTTGTACGTAAAGACGTGTCTCTGAGCTTCTTGCAAAGAAAGTAAAGTGAATACATATTTTGTAATTAAAAAGAACACCCCTATTTTAAAACTGAATTAAATATATATTAATAACCAGAAAATATTTTTGTTGCAATAATAAGTAATTTATTTAACTAAAAAATGAAATGCGCTGTGAATCAAAAAAAAGATTTCTCAGTTTATCTTACACTACGATCTTATCTTAAAAGACGATGCTAAAAAAAGATCTGCCGAAACACGATGCCAAAGTAGCTTTGGGGTCGAAATAACATCAGAATATTGCCTTACCAGGCTTACCTTTTGCAGAAAATCTTATACTATTATTATTATGTGAAGCGAATTTGATAGAATTATTTTTTATGTCAAATTATTGTTATGGCCTAATGTTTACCTCAAAATATTAAAAATTAGACTGCTTTCCGTATTAACAATTACCTAGTAAAAATGGCTTAAGGGACGATTTGAAAAGATTGACTCATCCCGTCCAAATTTCGCCCAACAATTTACCGTAAAATAGCATTACTTAGCGATTTTTTTCAAGGTATTCCGAAAATCGTTAGTGTTTGCATATAGCGACCATTTTAAATGAAGACGTAATATTGGGTAATAATCGAAAATATGATTTGATCCAGCCCATATTCCGTCCAAATATATGAAAAACAAAGACTTGTATATTCAACATAAAATTGTCTTTACGGCCATCAGACAGTCAAACTTACATTAAAAAAAAAAATAGTTTTCTGAATCGATCCGCATAATAAAACGTGGTTTTAAATGAAGCTGTTTTGAATATTACATACGTTTGCATAAACTGAATTTATCCTGCAGTATACTCTTATTGGGTGATTTAAAAAGAGGTCACTCTAATATATTTTTATCCTTAAATTATACAAAAATAATTGTATTGTCTCGGTATGAAAAGATCGTATTATGTCTTTTTACTTCTACTTTCGCATCCTAAAAATAGTCCGGATCAATTCATAAGCAGCAGATATCGGCTACTTTCCACTTCTATTTACAAATTATCACTTGTATCAAATATAAAATTTCTTTTTATTTGTTTTTCAGTACGGTTTCACATCGCCCATCTATATGAAGTCCAAAAAAAATATAAAGTTGCCAAAGAGGCATATGAACAATTACTTAAAGAAAGGGAGCTGACCTTGGAATTAAAATCAGTTATATACAGACAATTAGGTGATAAAATTGTTAAATAAATTTTCTCTGCATCTATCTTTAAAATCTTTAAAATATTCTTGCTTAGGATGGATGTATCATTGCGTTGAAATATTTGGAGAAAGAAAGCATCGTCAGTCTCATGCAATATTATACCTACAGAAGTCTATTGAAGCTAATACCAAATCTGGCCAGTCCTTATATTTATTGGGCCGGTGCTATGCTGGTATAAGTAAAGTTCATGATGCCTTTATTTCTTACAGAAATTCGGTAGAAAAAAGCGAAGGGAACGCAGACACATGGTGTTCAATTGGGTGGGTATTGAAAAGCAAACGATTTTTTACATAGAAAATAATGTCTACAATGACAATAGAGTTTTATATCAACAACAAAATCAGCCTACCGATGCTTTACAAGCTTACATTTGTGCTGTACAACTTGACAAAAATCATAGGGCTGCATGGACTAATTTGGGAATATTATATGAGACTTGTGGACAACCAAGGGATGCATTCGCTTGTTACTTAAACGCAATTAAAACTACGGGAAAGGTAAAAAAGTCTGCTTAAATTAAATTCGGTCTACGATTCGATTACTGTTCCCTTTTCCTTTCTTCTTTTTTTTTAGAAGCAACACCGCGAAAAACAAGATATAAATAAAGTGTTGCTTCAGCGTATAAAGTTTTTGGATACACAATTAACTCAGGCACCTATGCCGAGTATAACGTCTAGAAGAAGACAACTTTGTTCAATAGAAGAAGCTTGGAATCTGCCAATTTCATTAGAAATGAGCTCACGTCAACAACATTTGCATTCGTCAAATCCCCATCGCCAAATAGGAAAAACTTCTGTAAGTCTCTATATTTGAATAGATGTGCAATAATTTGTAGCAAAAAAAATTAAAAAATTAAATGGGATGAAATTTAACCATAATTAACTTAGTTATTCACTTTCTCTAAGGTCTTTTATTTGATACACACCGAAATTTTTAAGAAAAAATTTATCAATCGCCGTCCACCATAATTAATTTAGAATGAACATAACTTGTGGGATTCTGTTCCCCGAGTCCTTCTATTTGATGCCTATATCGCCGGTACTATTAGCACCAGCCACCACTATTAATCCGGACACGCTGTGGTGTCTACCACATTTATTAATAGAACTCACGTATTTTTAGGCAGGTAATACGCCGTCGTTTGAGAATTGTACAAAATAGTTTTAAACATTCTGTTTACTTCGCTTATGATTAATAAGCATAAAATTTGAAAAAAGTGACAGGAAGAAAATTTAATCGCTTGTAGTTTTGTGTAGGCATGTCCGATTTTTTCTATTTTGCTCATAAATGGTCGATTCTTTCGTAAAGTAAATGTAGCCTTTATACCCTTTATAATTTTGACCAGTGAGCAGAAACCCACAAATTTTTATCTGGAAAAATGGAGTTGCGTTCGGTTTAGGCTTCACTGCGGGCTTGTGATCTGACCAATTTGGCCCATTTTCAATGTGTGCAAAACCTTCTAATGTTTCTACTAAATTTAAAGTCGATATCTTTATTTTTGCGACAAGGAAAGTGTAAGCACCCCACACAGACGAACAGACACACCTTAATCAATTCAGAATTTCATGCTAATCAACAATATATATACTTTCTTTGGTGGGTATAATAAGTAGGGGGTCTATCTCAAAACTTTTTGGGTGGTGTAAACATCCGAACGAACTTAATACACCTTTATACCACAAGTGGTGTACGCTATAAAGAGACATTGTCTGAAGAGAGTAGATTCTTGATGAGCATGATCCTTTCTGAGGTACGCATCTGTCATTCAGTGTTGCAATTTGTTTAATTTAATGCACTACGAAAACTTTTGGATTGATAACACTTTTCACAGATAGGACAAACTTTAATGTAGCTTGAAAAATCAAAAAATGTTGAATGAGAAAGATTTGCAAGCTGAAACTCCTTTTATGTGTTTTTCTGTTTATCTGTAAATATACATTTTGCCTCATATGAACAAAAATGTAGAAAACTTTCCAAGAAAAAGCAAGTTTTCATGAAAATTGATTCAAAAATGAATCAGTAGTAGAGCCTTATTATTGCTTGGAGAAGTTTAATGCAAGATATTATGATAAGAAGTTTTGGACTATTAATGCAGGCTGAGGCTTTTAAAAGAAAGTTTCCTTGATAAGTAAAAGTATATTTATTTTAGCAGGGATGCTTTAAAATGGGAAATATTGCTGTTTATTTTCTATAATCCTTTCTTAATGTTAATGTTAAAAAAGTGTTAACTTTAGCTTTTAATTAATCTTAATTTTAAAGTCAAATAGCCTAAGTGCATCGCTATTTATTTGAATATGTATATATTTTGTTTTTTTAAAGGCTCAAGGTCCTCCACCGCCTTATCCAAATAGTACACCAGCAAAACGGTCGAAAGAGGGAAACCAAACGCAATTCCAAACTGGTAATCGTCCCACTCAACCGCCGCTTTTTTTGACACAACAACAAATGCAAATGCTACAGTACTTACAACAGAACCAAAACAATTTAAATTCGCAAGAGAGGATATTATTACAAGATTTAAGCAACCAGTATCAATTTATGCAGCAATATCAGCAAAATTGCTTTCAAGCAAGCAACCAAGAAAGTATTACAGGGAAAAACAGAGAAATTTCTGAACAATTCGAAAACGAAGTGAGAGTTATGTCTCCGCCCGCCTATCCATTAGTGGCTAAAAGCACGAATGATATTTCGGAAAATAAAACGGAACCTTCAAAAGAATCCTTTCCCGAACAAAGTGATTTAGGTGAGTTGTACAATTTTTTCGTTTCGTTCACATGAAACGTGTTTTTTTTTAAAATATCGATAATTTCAGCTTAAATAGTCAGCTTGTTAGTAATAAGCTCCACCGCCCGGCTTTAACAAATTTAATAAGTTTAAGTCCTTTCAGATATTACTATTAGATCATGAGAAAAGAGGAAATCTTAAGAATGTAAAATAACTTTCTATGAAGGAATTCAATGTGGTTTGAAAAATCTACCCCCTCTTATCTTCAATATTCTCTACACCACTTGTGGTGCAGGACATAATAAGTTTCGGCGGAAGTACATTACACCCAGAAGGATTTAAGCTAGGACCACCTCTTATATATTATATGGAAGAAAATTGCAATTTTCAAAAATTTTCGCTGTGTAATAGTATTTCGACATTCCAAATTGGTACGGCTGAAGTAATTTTTTGAATATACTCTCAAAAAACCGTTTCTACGAAAACTGAACCTTTATAGCGTAAAAAAGATCTAATTTTCAATATTTCATGACGAAAATTCGTTTATAATAATAAATTCACATAAAAATCAGCCTTACCAAATTTGGACCACGTATGTCCATTTCTTGGACATCATCGTATATAAGTATTCTTAGGAAGTGTAAATATTTACATGCCGAAAAGACGTAATTGTTAACGTTTTATGATGAAAATTTGTTCATGATAGTAATTTGACATAAATATTAACTGGACCAAATTTGCACTATATTGGTATATTTTTTGGACTCCATTGCACATAAGATATCTCATGAATAGATTTTTTAGAAAAAGAGTTCCTTTTTAATATTTTACGACGAAAATTGATCCGTGGAGCAATTTAGCACAAAAATCAACGGTAGGGAATTTGGATCACAGCTCCATTTTTTTAAAGCCTAATATATTTATTATGCCTTTACATGAAAATAAAGCGTGGTTTTTGGAGTATGAGTGTATAGCAACACTAAGCGAAGCGGTGTAACGTGATATATACCCGCCTATAATGTTCCTACTTTGTTATTCTTTCAAACTGCTTTCGACTGCCAATGTCGTTGCTATTTTTTATATGTTCAATAATTGATAATGTTTCTTTTGTATCTTATTTAAATGTAATTAAGCTGTTTGGCTTCATGTATGACGGCAAAGAAAAGTTCTTAGAACGCGCCTTTCTCTGCTCATGCTTAAATTCAATGCAACACGTAAGATCGCAAATATTCCCAGTCTCGTAAAGAATGTGAAAGGAAGATTTGCAAAATCCAGCACTCTTGATAGAGACTTCGTTTGTTTCGACTGTAATTTTATTTACAATTCTATTCTGGCTTTTGTTAATTTAGATCCAAAATATTGATTTTATCGCCTGGTTAGGAATGCCCTGTTACAAATTTAATCAAAGTAAACAAAAATCGTTGTAATTGTATGATTATTTTTTCTTGTTTTTCATTGAAAATGTTTTTCAGGTGTAAGCGATCAAGAACTCCAAGATATACTTTGCCAAAAAGATTTAACGTCAACGCTTACTGATGATATTTTAAAAACGTTTGATGGTGATAGTATAGATTTGAAGGATGCTGACAGTCGAGACTCTCTCTCAAATAAGCTATCAAGCGTGAAAGGCGCTTTTCTTTTGGATAATGATTTTATTAAAGAAGAGATATTAAAAAATGAAAGCCTTTATGAGTACTACTCAGACGAAGCCGCAAAAGAACACTCCATGTTTTCTATACGAATGGATTCGAAAGAAATTATGGCGGCGGTTAAAAATTTGCCACTAAATGAACCTCCTCCCCCGTGTTCAATTTTAAATATAAATGCTCCTGCTCCAGCGCCTCCAGATTGCCCGCCCCAACGTCTTACTAGAGAGCAATTGTTACCACCAACACCCTCCGTGCATCTTGAAAACAAGAAGCATGCCTTTAGTCCGCAACTGCAAGAATTTTGCTTAAAGCATCCTATCGCAGTAGTACGCGGTCTGGCTGGAGCTCTTAAATTAGATTTAGGCCTGTTTTCGACAAAAACCTTGGTTGAAGCAAATCCGGATCACAGTGTTGAAGTGCGAACACAAGTACACCAATCACCCGATGAGAATTGGGATACAATTCAGGCAAAACGGGTATGGGCTTGTATATCTCATAGATCACATACGACGATTGCAAAATATGCCCAGTACCAAGCGTCGAGTTTTCAAGAAAGTATTAAGGTATGCGTATCATTTGCATGCGTTTTTTTTTTTTTTTTTTACAAAAGTTATGTCAATTCAGTTTATCCAACATATAGTAGCATCTATATATTTGACTGAAATTTTGTTAATAGATTTGTCATTTTTCTTTTTACTTTACTCTTTCATAGGAGGAACGAGAAAAAGGTATTCAGATGTCGGATTCGGACTCAAAGGATTCGCTGAGCAATGCTTCGCTTAGCGGGAAAAGAAAAAAGAATAAAGGTGGCAATAAAATGTTACGGTGAGTATGGTTTAGGATGAATTCTTCACACAATCTCAAACAAATGCTTAAAACAGCCCGTCAGTTAAACATTCGTGATTGCTCTTATATTCTTCTTTTTATGGCTATCGGAAATGTTCATATCAATTTTTAAATCAGCACTTTTTATTGGTTGTATGTTATCTGCTTGTTGCGACCTATTTGTCAAAATGAAGCTATGACCTTCAAATTCGGCAGAAACGTTGGTATTAAAAATGGGTTAAATCGATTGAACGACACAGTAACACACCAACTGAAAATATCTATGTTTTTCAAAGGAGAAACAATGTTTTTTCGTCGTTTACTGCTCGTAAACTATGTCATAACTATGCGATAAAACTTTCACCATATATTTTACCGGCGATCAAAATTATAGTGGGTTAGTTTTATTTTTTTGCCAAGACCATTATAGAGCTCAGATGTAAGCTTCAAAATCCCCATAAAGTCTATATACATGCTTGACCCGTATCAAATGCGGAATCTACTTAAGTTATTACTCGGTTTATTTGTCCATCTGTCTATCTGCTCAACGTTGTAGTAACTTTGATAAACATTATCCAGTTCGCAAAAAGGAAATATCGTTTGTAAATTTGTAAAAAGATTTTAAAATTAATCAAAGCTGGTTGAAGAATACGCCTACAATGCAACGAAAACTGAGACCAACTCTCCGTATTTTTAGCTCGTTGCTTCAAAACTACATAGGACACTCAATGAAAATTTCAACTTTTATTCTATAAAAGTAGAAGACCACGCACGTCCAATGTTATAGTGTATGAAAACCAGTCTTTTATTTTAGGATAACGTCGATAGATATAAGAGGTACGGGCATAGCCGAATTATTTCATTATTTCTCGATATGTCAGCGAACGGGGCGTTTTGAAGAAGAAAATATTTTCCTTCGTTCAGCATCTTTCACATTGTATACAATCGAACTGGAACTATCTGTAAATTTATAGCAAGCACGTTTTGAATTTGTGCTGTGTTGCCGTCAAATACATTTTGAATTTCTTCACGGAATACTTTCGTGGGGCTCTAGAACAATCGTCGTTTTCAAGACTGACATTTTTTACACGAAATCTTTCGAGACACGCTTTTGCTATTTCATAGCTTCCGTCATTTCCATCCAAATAAGTAATTTCAGTCAGTTTAGTTTATTTCCCAATTTAAAACAGAGTAACTTGGAATATCATAGATGTGCACTTTTATCCACACTGGACAAAGCTAAAATTTATATCCTTCAAAAATCATTGTCAATGTTACGTGCACACAAAATGGCGGGAGAAATAAATATTTTCGGTTTATTGTGCAAAGCAACTAGTTTCATCACGGAAGAGCCTTGAAAAGCCGAGTTTTTATTAGTGTTCGCATTAATGCGAATGATTGTATGGTTTTCTATGTATACAAACAGAGGAAAAAGAAATTAAGTGCTTTCAAAAAAAAAAGTCAAATTTATGTCAAATTCGGTGTTTTTAAAGTTTTAGAATTATATTATATTATCCCAAGCATATCTATTAATTCTTCAATTTCTTACTTAATTAAATGTTATTCAAAATGTCCATTTGTAATAATATTCCTCTTATTGTTCCTTAAATCATACGTGGCTTATTTATCAATCTTATTATTGATCTTCTTGTCTCTCATACCATATATATTCTGCTTAATCTTGACCGAAGCTGTTGGTTTTTGTTCGGAGAATTTGGCAACCCTAAATTTTGACAGTGCAAGTTATATTCGTGTCCGTGACGTATGATTTCCGTTCTTCTTTAAAGAGCAGCTCATAGAACAAAGCGTGTTGCGACTAAAATTCATAAGAATTGAAGTAAACACGTTATGTACGAAGTAATTAAGTAACTAAGCTAATTCCACATGTTAATATGAATATGTTAACACAATGTCGGAAGAGCTTGGTTTGTATTGCAGTGTGTGCAAACGTTTCGCACGCTTACTTGGTGCTCCCTGCATTCCAGCATTTTTTGAAGACATATTACTCTTTTCCGAAGTTTTTACTACAGTGCTATCCAATGCATGGGATCTTTCTACCTCTCCGTTGAATGTGTTCTTGTTTGACTTCTTTTCACGTCGGTTAATACATTGTGCACAAAATTCTAAAAAAAAAAAATTTCTAAATTAGTGCTAATCCAATCAGTTTATCGAACAATAACAACAAACAAGGCTAATCGATTAAGGTGAATGTAATATCAGATATTAAGGCTTGCTGCAGCTATTTAACACTGCTATAGAGGAGGTTCTGTGCCACTGCGTTTTTCTTCTCAACATGTGATTAGTACCGTAATTAATTCGAACATCTGTAACAAGAAATAAATATTTCTTCGAGAAAATTACCGGGATATTCAAAAGACAGCTTTGAGTGTTTGCGACATGAAGTTATTTATGTAGCTATCAACCAATGTAGCGGAGCTAAATCCAATACAAGTTGAAATCTGAATGAAAATAAAAATAATTTCCGAGAATGTCTCTATTCATGGGCGCCTTGATGCATACGTTTGTGAAACATGGTATGCACAACGAAAAATCGGTTCTCTCTTTACTGGAACCATTTCGTTTATGGTTTTTCTAAGCCGTGGCCGAATTCTTTGGGATTTCATTTCTTGAAGGTTACACATTAAAAAGTAGTTGTAGAACAATAAAATATGAAACTACAAATCGAATTAGACGTTTACGTATGTCTAGTAGACATGGCTTAACAGCGCCAATTAGCTTTTAAAAATTTATAAAAACGTCTTCCTGCTTAGAAAGCAAACTCTTCTTTAATTGGTTATAGAAATAAGTATGCATTTTTTTAAGATTGTTTTGTGTAAATCTTTGCAGGTTTGGAACTAATGTCGACTTATCTGATGAACGGAAATGGCGCCCGCAATTGGCAGAGCTTCAAAAATTGCCAGCATTTGCTCGAGTTATATCTGCAGCCAATATGCTATCTCATGTAGGGCACGTTATTTTGGGCATGAACACCGTTCAGCTCTATATGAAAGTGCCCGGCAGCAGAACACCTGGTCATCAAGAAAATAATAATTTTTGCTCTATTAACATAAATATTGGCCCTGGAGATTGTGAATGGTTTGCAGTACCAGATGCTTATTGGGGTGGTATACAGAGCTTATGTGACAAAAACAGCATTAGCTACTTGCACGGTTCATGGTGGCCAGTTTTGGAGGATCTGTATAAGGAAAACATCCCTGTTTATAGATTCATTCAACGACCAGGCGATTTAGTATGGGTTAATGCTGGGTAATTCCAAAGTGAAATATATAATCCCTGATCGCGCTGGATTTGATCATATTTTACTAAATTGAAAAAAGGACACAGTAGTTCGAATAATTTTATTTATTTAACTACATATGAAAAGAATCCAGCTAGATGAGAACTTGCGTATGCACACTTTTATGATGAAGCAATTAATTGTAATAACTTTCGTTCTACTGCAATATGAATATTGAAGAAATCTTTCTCTGAAGAGTAACATATTTTTATTCAGTGATTTCAAACTCGTTACTTTTTTGACAATTAAGTGCAAATTGATCTCTGCATTCTTTCAGATGTGTTCATTGGGTGCAGTCAGTTGGTTGGTGTAATAATATTGCTTGGAACGTGGGTCCCTTAACTGCGCGGCAATATTCGCTGGCTATTGAACGTTACGAATGGAACAAACTGCAAAATTTCAAAAGCATTGTACCTATGATCCACCTCAGCTGGAATTTAGCCCGCAACATACGAGTAACGGATTCAAAGCTTTTCGAATTAATAAAGTAATTGCGATTATAATATTTCTAAAACAGGACATGAAGTATTGTTTTCATATCGTAATGGTGTTGCTACATTAATTTTTAATTTCATCGCTTCAGAAACTAATAATTTACATCAACATGATACCTTTAAATCAAGTTTGTTTCAACGGCATCTGTTTGTCTGCTTGAATGATAGTCTTGCATCCTGAAAAACTGGAACATGCAGCCTTGAGTCACTTCCGAGGATCAGATTTGAAGAAATGGCAAAACTGAATAAATATCGAGAGATTGAATAAAAATGAAAACAAGAAAATTGCTAAAAAGGGAACTAAAAATTATCTTCATTGAAAAAGTTGTGCCATTAATTATGGGCGTGTCAATGGATTGAGTAAAGAACTTTTGTACAAAATGTTTATGTAGCATTTAAAAATGGCAGTGTTTTCTTCGTTAAAAACGCCTCTCTTCACAATAAATTTGAATGTTTGATATACAAAAAACTCAGTGAAAAATTGATACAACTTTAATATTAATTGATTAAAACGCTCTCTGATGTCAACTGATAGTTTACTCTCTCTTTTCTTTTTTCATACAGAATGTGTCTGTTGCAAACATTAAAGAATGTCATGCACACCTTGGAATATGTGAAGTCAAAAAGCGTTGTAGTACGATTTCATGGACGTGGGAAAAATGAGGCTTCCCATTATTGCGGACAATGCGAGGTATCAAAATATTATTCATACAAATATATCTGCATGGTATTTTAGTCATTGCCTTAGAAGTTTTAGAAGAATTTGTTTTATCCTCCTTGAAAAGAGGCTTGCCTTCTACAATTATATAAGTGTACATGAATTCGATCCAGATATGATTTAAGGAGTTGTCATCCCTATCCGGCATTAAAAATTGATGCTTTTCACATATTTTCTTAGTTTACGACTGCAAACATTATTGGTTGCAAAAATTTAAGCCATTTTTTCACTTGAAACAGGCGTTTATTGACAAAAGTTGATGCAATGTATATTAATGGAAACATTTCGCATAATTTTCTACAACTTTTTCCAATATTTTGGGCAACGTGGCGATATAATGTCAAAAGAACTTAGTTTGGCGGCAATCCACCGCATGCCAGCAAAGCTATGATGCACTGACCTGAACAAGTGGTAATCAGGTGGCGTCATGCCTGGTGAGTACTTTGGGTGTGGCAAAATTTCTCAGTGTGTTCTGGGTTATTCTTTGCAACAAGTGGTCAAAAATGACATTTTCTCTTAATTCGCGTCGCCACTTTTAAATCGTTGAACCTAAAACAGGCGATTGTGGAGCAGTAACACCATAAGCTTCTGAACGTGTTAGGTGGTCTTCGGGAGCAGATTTTTTCAAATAAACGATAAAAGTAATGAATTTGGAAGAAGAAGAAGAATTTTGAGCGCTCCATAATTAGCTTCGTCGTGAGGTTGGCTAACCCAATAATATCAAATGGAAAACTGTTATTTTATGTAGAGAAAGGTCGAAATCATAAAAATTTAATCGTTATGTGCCCTGCTATTTCCCACATGTTTACCATTTTTACCTCTAAAAGTCGCTAGTGAAAATTTTTGAAAAGCTAATAGACGAGACTTATACAGACCCACATCTGTTATAATATCATTTATACAATACCTCCTCTGCGCCTAAAGCATCCATACATAGCAGAGGTGAAAGGTAGATGCACTTTCGAGTAGGATAAGGTTATATTGGCATTGACTTGTGAGTTCTGCTACTGAATATGCAGGGGAGGGTCATTACTCTTAACAGAAGGTACCAACCGAAACAAAATTTGAGATACATTTCTTTTCGCATGTTGGGAGTGAAACATTACAAAAGTTGTCACCTAAACTCTCCGATGGCTTAACTACACATCTCCTTGAAACGTGGTTATTTCTTTACAAACATGTACACAGGAATTAATTGAGGAATGGCATCATGATAATTCATAAATCATAATTTTGTCTAACATTTCTAAGAGGCAGGATGGCAGAAGCATTGGACGGCGGTGCAATGAAGGAGGTTTTATTTTTTGGGGTGTGAACAACCGCCGTGAGTTTCCGAAGATTGGAAATGGGACTATGAAAAACTTTTCTATTTGCTTAGATCCAGTAATTTACGTTCACTTAAACAGTGTTGTGATTACTTCATTTCATATGGGATATGATCTTAACATAGCGTTTTCTTTCTATTTTTGTGAAACGGCTCTCAAGTTCTAATGCGAATACAAATTTTCCTAGGAATGCATTGCGAGAAATAAGATGAGTAAAGTAACTGGAATGCTGTTGAAAGGGTGCTTAAGGCACGTTTCTTCGATATGATCAGATTTCTCGTGCACCTCGGTTAATGTCTCGTTTAGCGTACAGATGGCAGTAATATCATTCCAGTGTGGAGTCCACGATAGTAACCGATGATAGTTTTTGATTTCCTTAATTTCTTCAAAATTGAGCGTTAGCTTCTTTGTATGAGAACAGATTTATGTAACCACAATTTATTTTGCTAAGATGCCATAAGTCCATTTTAATTTTCTTTAGCTAGGTTAGCTTGTTGGTCTACTAAGAAAGGGACACACAGTCAACATGGTTTTTACTTGGAGGTATAATGACAGCAATGCGGGTAAGTTTAATCAAAATAGCAATATCACAATTTTCAGTGACCGCTAAAAGTTTTGCTATGTAAAGTCTCTTTGGCCAGTTTGGAGCAGTTAATTTAATCAGCTTTGCCAAGTAAAAACTGTTTGTTTTGGTAGAATATCAGAAGTGTTTCGGAGTTTTGTTGATGACTTGGAAGTGGTCGCTATTAGGAAGATCGTCACCAAATATGAGAAAGAAATGATGGCGAACGACAAGTTAAGTCGCTTTAAATGAATGAGTTGACTAATACGATACCATCGTTTCTTGCAGAACCACAAATTATGTTTCAGCTATTAGTCTTCAGTAATAATTAATGGTGAAGAAAGCATGGAGAACAAATTACAAAATTGTTACTGGAAAATAAGTTGAGAAAAAAGAATACAAAGCAAGAACGTATTAAATTTTTTTCTATTTCGGGAGCTAATGTCTGCATATTTGAGTTTAAATATATGCGTCTATGCGGGACGTTGTATTTAATGAGGATGAGTTTTGATCAACGCTTACAAAGTATCCGGTGTATGAAGTGGTTGAGGTTGGATTAGAAGAATGCGATGGTTTTCTTAAGGTAGTTCATTGAATTAGGAACACAACCTTTGAATGTTATATTGCAATGCTTTAGTGTTTAGTGAAAGTATCGCGATCGCAGATATCGTTAAAGTTCATGGTTGCCATATTTAGTTTAGATTCGTTCATCTTACCAATTGAAAAATCAAAGCCACTATTTTTGTATTTGTTTCGATGTTCGATCCAGATTATTTGGATGGAGAGTTACATTTTAAAATTGCTTGGCTTAATTGAATACAAGAAACCAACTGCGCCCACTCCATATTATAGAGTATGAGAATTTTGTTCTTTTACTTCTTTTGTCTTTTTTTGGAACAATTTGATCCCGACCGAATTTAATTTTCTTACTTGTTTAAATTGCAAATGGACTTAGTTTGGACATCATATTGCTTTCAGTTGTAATTATGACACATTTTTTGTACGAAGCAGAGCGTTAATTGCTGGCAATAACGGAAAGTCTGTAGTTTTTTAAGTTTTTTTAGGAGCAGGGTCTGGATTAAATAAAAAACCTAATAGCAGGAAAAAAATTGTTGCTAATATTAGGGCAGGAAAATTAATTACGGAGAACGATAGATAAATCGCAATCGTTCTAAAGATCTCTTCTTACAGTGGAAGCCATATACATTGAAAGACGAGCACAAGTAGCTACAGATTATTCATCATTTTGTGACGAATTTGAAAGAACTCTAACGTCACAATTAGAGTAAAGCTTCCTTATATGTTTGACGGATGATGAACTTTGTTTTTCTTTCTTTGTAGATTGAAGTTTTTGATGTACTTTTTATACGCGAGCAAGAGAAACGTCACGTAGTACATTGCATGCCATGTGCCCGAAAGCAAGCTCCAAACCTACAAGGATTTGTCTGTTTGGAGGAATATCGATTATCGGAACTATGTCAAATTTATGATGCTTTTACACTTCATAAGCCACAAACACTGCCACAAAGTTCTCCAACAAATCATTAAGATAATAGGAAAAGAAATCAATATATAGTAATCTATAAACGCCCCATTACCAACTCAAATAACTCTTAAGTAACTTTTGATGCCGATGTTTATAATCCTTTTGTAGTTATATTCTGTTAGTTCAGATTTTTTATAATTTATACTAGTTTAAGATATAAAGAGTGATTAAGTATATCATCAATCAAATTGTATATTTATATCATAATTATGATCGAAGACAAATATATTATTGAATGAACAATTATTGTATTGTGTTTTCCATCATTTTTGTCAACGCAGTTGGATTATGAAATTTCTGTGTTGTTATTATTACATAATTGCATCTTCTATCAACCGCTGTATCAAAATGGTGTTATTTAGGCAGTATTTTGTGCTCTTGTTGCGTGACTATTTATTTCGGCGAATTGCTTTATGAACCTTCATGTACTTCGTTGCGGATGTTAATAATTTCATATCATGCGGTCACTTGTTCTAATAGTCTTTTATTGGAAAATTCAAAAAAAGGGATGCATGATTGACATCCGGAGCATTTTACATCATTTAAGACAAACAATAAAAATAAATTATTTTGTTAAAACACCCTCCAAACATTTGGATACATCAATTAAAACAAGTTTATGTTTTTAGATCATTGACCATTGGGAAACCATGACATGATGATTCTCTTCAACGTATGAATACTGAGACAACTCAGAAGTGCCCGGAGAGTTCTTTTGAACCTAAGTGATGAATAATTAATGCCATCATGAATCGACGTATTTTGAAAGTTTGATTTGTATTAGCTCATTGCAATAGTGAGAAGACGGTTTTATGGAATGTTTGAGAGTTTTTCTTTTGTGAAAGATTTTTTATTTTGGCGGTTTTATTTATATTAAAGTTTTCTTGCAAAAACTACAATAATAATATTATAATTTATTAGGAAAATTGGAAGTGCTTCCTGCTCAACCGACTAAGAACTTCAATGTCCATTCTGTCATAAGCGTTCTGACAGCACAACACCCCGACTTTCACAGCCCATAAAGACATTATTCTTATCCAACAATTGCACTTTTAAAATTAACATCCGTTCAAAATATATGCTATATAGATTTCTTTTCAATTTTTTCCTTTTTCTTCCGTTCCTCCTTCTCACCCCTTAATTTTTAAAAAATTTGGTTACTTTCTTAAATCTTTTTTTCTTTTTTTTCCATTAACACCGGTAAAACAAAAATTATCCAGCTGCCGTTTGCATAGATGACGTGTTGTAACAAGTGTGAATGAAATGTGAATGTTTTATTTTTATTATATTAGCAGAAACTTAAATGTTTGTCAGTGACAAAATTTATTTTCTTTCTTCGTCTTCTTGAATATTCAGCGAGTCAACAAAAGACTTTAGTGTTGAAGTGTGCGAGAAGTGTGAGAGCAAAGAAGTGAGAGAAATGTAGCACAAATTTCTGTTACAAACCTCACAAACCCAATTGCGCAAAGTTAATTAAAATAATTGCTAAGGGGACAATTAATAAAAATGCCGAAAACACTGATTTAAATGAATCTTTACTTTCCGAGCGCACTTTCTTAACCTCGCTTTCTTCTTGCTTGATTTTTTTTGTTTTAAGTGAGGAATTTTATTTTTTATGATGACACTTTACGATGTAACTCGATATTATCGCGCTCCAAAAATAATTTTCGGAATGGGTTATAAAGAAAAAGTTGGCATATGGTCGCAAGGTGCATGTTTGCATGAACAATCGCGACCGAATAAATTGATAGCCAGGCCTTGTTCGGCATTACTTAAACCGCGTGCAAACAAATCACTGGATATTTTAATTTTTTTGCCACTGTAGTAAGCTTTTAACGCGGATCCAGACCAAGGCAAAGTAGGAATGTCAGCTGTTTGTGCTACAATTGAAGAGGCTACTTTATCGCCCAAGGCCCACATGGCATGCTCTGGTGGGCCTAAAAAAACTAAATTTTGTTTATGCAATAATTCAGGCAATTTCGGATTTTCTGAAGCGTGACCCCAGCCAGCCCAAACAGCCTGAAAATAATAAAATGAAAAACTGTGGCGAAATGTTCAATTTGGCATAATAATGTTTTAGTTAACCTGAACTTGTGTACGCATAGCTATGTCAACAATCGGCTCAACATTTGCATAGTTATTATTATTAGATCCTCCAGGCACAGGGACGTAATGATCGGCCATTTTTATATACTCAGCGTTGGCCTTCAAATCTTCCGGCGTTACGATGACTACAAAAAACGTATAGCCCTCTCATTTTTGAACATTTCGTATGACCAACGGCGTATTGAACGTAACACTTGACTGCTGCAATGCCATTATTGGCTATTAGGATACGATTTATAACTCGTATACCACCAAATTTCTTAACAAATTCTTCAGGTGTAGCTATATGAAAATCACGGTCGAGCAAACGATCTTGACCGAGGCCGGCGCCCCTTGACATACTGGGCCTGAAAAATCCAATAGAGTTGAAAAATACATTATATAGTTAGTAAAATATCATCATTTATTTTAAAACCAATTTGTAGTCAATGTTCATATAATATATTTCTATTTTAATTGAGTATTGTTTCACCTTAAAAGTTTAATATTTTCTTCTTTTTTGGTTTTAATATAGGTGATTGAGTGACTGTGAGACCTACATCCCCAATAACTTGAAAACTTTTATTCTATGTTCGCTATTATTATTATTACTTAATTCTTAGAGCCGATAGCCTGTGTTGCTAGTGCTCAATGTCTCTTTTTTTAGTCTAAGAATTCAATTCATTAGTCTAAAATTAAAATAATAATAATAATAATAATACTTAATTCTTGTACATTTTATTGAATATTCTAAACATTATAAGATTCTTTAGTAAATATATTGGTTCTTTAATTTTTGCCCTCTTGTGTGGAATTTTTCTTCAATTATTTCCCATATTCGGGTAATATTAGCAACGAAGAATTTCGACTTGAAAAAGATGCATTTTGCAATCATTTGAAATATGTAAAGAAAATAAACATTTCCCTTTTTCGATAGTGTTGTAGATTCCAATGTCCATTATTTTACAAGAAAAAACTTATTAGGACTGCTTACACTTAAAATTGAGTGAAATGCGCATGTTTTTAAAAACACAGATTGAAACTGCCAACGTTTTGCCGATATTTTCTGGGCCAATGAATTTGCCAACAGATATGCCTTTTTACCTGAAGATTTGATCGAAAATTACATTTACATAGTTTAAAGTTTTTATCTTACAATTGTCGACCCCTACGATTTCAATAAAAGCGAACAAATATATATGAAGAAATTTCTGCGAATCAAGAATACATGATCTGAGGGTATCAAGTTAGAGGTATATATTTTTTGAACGTCATTTCGGCCCTATTTTTTGTCTTTACTGTCTTCGAAATTCACGTCTTTACGGTCAAGTTTCATATCATTACACTCTACATCACTTTGGCTATTCATTCAAATTCGTTATAAGACACCAAATATCGTACCCTTTTTTCAAGAGCAGGCATATTTTTCTTCAGAACTCTTTGATTTAAACGTGGTCAAAATATGAAACAACGTGGTCCTTATTTGGGATATTTAATTTTCTGATTTCCTTTTATTTTTTTTTATTTTTATTTTTTTTTGTATTAAAAAATTGAAACTCGACTTCATCTCTATGTACGAGCTTATTTATCATAAGAATTTTTATAAAAATACAGCTATGCTACCTGAATTTGTTACAGTTAATTTTTTATGTCAAATTGCTATTGTCAGCAGGTTTTCGCTATTGTTTCCCGATGATTCGTCGCGTTTAAAAAAAAAAACACAACGTGAGCACAAAGACACATTGTGACTATTAAAATCACCACATATTAATGCAGATACGCCAGTTCTGAAAGAAAATATTCTATTAATTGCAGAATCAAAAACATTACAATTAGGTGGAATATAAAAGTAATGATCAGGAGTTCGCCAAAGGAAGTTTTAATGGTGCAGCTACAAACTTCGATAGGTTTAAAATACTCATGGGGAGGTTGCGAGATAAGCGTGTGGTGGAGTTAATGGTAGAATATGATTTAGAGGACGGCTTGATATTATGTAATTTTTGAATACGATCAGAGATTTGAGTTTAGTTAGAGGAAATGTTAGAATTAGCGATCATTTCGTGATCGGAAGGAGTATTATCTGTGATGGCTGTCATTGTTTCCGGAATTAAAGATTTTATATTGGAAGGTATGGTGATTTCAGGAGTTATCATTTTTCGTTTGTAGTTGAGACTCAGTGTTTCGTCGTTTGCTTGCTAGTTGAGAAGTCGGAGGAGACAACTCAAGCAAACTTTCTAGAGAGAATGAAAAGCATGAGCATAGGAATTTCGAGAGAAGGTGCATATTTGAGGCTTCAAACGATCTTCAACATGTTGTTTGGTTTTAGTTATTTTTTTATAGGAAGGACAAGAATGTTCACGCTTACAATTAATCCTTTAGTTAGTTTGAGAGCAATTCCAGGTGAATTCATGGCTCCTGTCACCGGAAGAGCAGAGAGGATTTTGAACACACGAAACGACAGAGATTTTCGTCGAGAAATATTAAATATGCTAATTTTTTTCATGCATCATCTTTTTTCTTTAAATATGTGGTTTGTTCGTAAAAATGCTCTGATCACATTAAGTCGAGGTATATCGAAAATTGAAACCTGTACGTTGAATTGAAAAGCCAACGGAAAGTCAGACGTCGAACGCACGAATTTAGCATGCTCTTTAAAATAATTGGGGTAAGGTATAATTAGCTAAATTCATATACACTTCATAGACTCTGTAGACTTAAAAACTATTAGTGTTTTTCAGTATATATATATGGGAAGAAAAAGTAGATGAAAAATAGTAAATAAACTGTAGGCGAAGAATTGTGGGGTGCTTAGCCTAAACCTAAAGAAAAAAATGTTTGCTGCTTGTGAAATGAAATATCCTTCTTAATTTAGCCAAATTTTTAAAATTTCCTTTGTTTAATTTTTCAAATTTTTTTTCGTGTTCCGGCAATTGATGTTTTTTTATAAAACTATTTCAAATATTAATGAAGTGCTGATGAAATTATCAGCAAATGTGTATGTGAAAAATGTTAGTATAATTGGACAAATTTTTGTTAATTACTTTTACAAATAATAGATTAAAAAAAATAATAGGTTTATTTATTATTATTATTATTTTAATTTTCGACTAATGAAATAAATTCTTAGACTAAAAAAATACATTGAGCACTAGCAACACAGGCTATCGGCTCTAATTTAAATAAATGTACATTAGATAATGAGCTTAGTAGTATTAATAAAGTAATATATTGAATTGATATTCTGTTCTGAAGCTGATTGTAGAATGTTCAAAGGGTCGTTCCAACTGCAATACTTCTAGCCAAGGCAAAGTTGAGGCAGTCGCAGAGAATGTGCTTTATAGTAAGAGTTTGTCCACAACAGCAGATTGGGGAAGAAGACTTCTTCAGGATCCATTGGTGAGTTGCAATTGTATGACCAAGGCGAATTCTCGAAAATGTTTGGATCTTGGTTTTCTCAACATTTGTTGGATATAAAGGTGGAGTTAATTGAGGGTTAATGGAAGAGTAGTGTTGATGATGGTATTGTAAATTTCCTTCGGCAATTTTCTCTTTAACTTTTCTTCCAATGTATCTTTGAAGATCCAACTTTTCCATGACATCATCCATAATTAGAGGAGCAGAAGCAGCATACTTTGCCGCTCGATCAGCCTGCTCATTTCCCAGTAAACCGATGTGACTTGGTACCCATAACATTTTAATTTTTCGTCGGGTGTAGTAATTGTATTCCTTAATTTGTTGATGGTGCTCCATCTCGAAGTCGATGGTTTCCGAATAGCTTGTACTACAGACAAACTGTCGGTAACAATGACGGTTTTGAGTTTGTTTTTATGGGCAAAGTTCGCAGCGTGAAGGATAGCTCTGGCTTCGGTTGTGAAAGTGGAAGTACTTTCGAGAAATATGTGGTTGACAAGAACCCGTCCTGCAGCGTCTACCACCGCACAAGCAGGAGGCAGACCAGAAGATTTTGAGCCGTCTGTGTAAAAAAGATTCCAACCACTACCAGGTTTTTTCAGCTATTAGATTCCTGAAGACGTAATTTGGAGTATCTTCTTTCTTGTGCATAGACAGTGAGATGTCAAAAGAGCAGTCTTTCAAAATCCTTAGAGGTTTAACACCAAAAGAGCGGGAAATTTTTAAGGGAATGCTCAATTCCTTTGCGACGCACAAACAATGGTCAATTGCAGATGGTGAATTTGGAATTTTCTTTGCAATAATAATCTTTCTTACGTCATCACCGAGAATGGATTTGTTTGAATTAAGAAGCTTGAGGACTATTTTAGCTTTTAACTCATACAGTCTATTTTCTAAAGTTGGGAGCATTTTTTTTGATTTTTGTATAGAAATTTTAGCCCCTGACGAGTTTGCCCTTCTCTTGGAGATCTCTCGTGCAATAGATTCGAGGATGTTAATTGTTTTCGTGTTGTCTTTTTCTTTTGTAAAAATGTATACATCGTCCGCGTAGAGACAATGTTCCGCTCTTGGTACACGGCAAAGAATTTTGCTAATTTCGTTGAAGACGATCTAGAAAAGCGTGACAGAGAGAGGAGATCCTTGCCGAATGCCATTCATTAACGGAAAAGAATCAGAGAGATGATTGTTGATTCTAACTTTGAACCGCCGATGCGACATGAATGATTTAATATATTTGGGTCCAACATTCCATGATTTCAAGAGTCTTAAAATAACATGAAGACCAACTCTGTCAAATGCTTTTTCGAAATCAATAGAGAGAATTGTTACATGATTCCGTTCGGAAATTGCTTTGCTCGTGAAAAAATCAATATGTAAAAAAGCGTCTATGCACCCGCTATCCCGCTTGAAACCAACTTGTTGCTTTGTAATCAAGTTCTTGAACTCAAGAAACCAAGATAATCTAGATGCCATAATCTTTTCCAATACCTTTGAGAGGCAAGATAAAAGAGAGGTTGGGCGATAGTCCGATGCGATGGAGGCATTTTTTGACTTTGGAATTGGAACAACTGTGGCCAGTTTCCACATGTAGGGTATATGGCCAGTCAAAAATACCGTATTATATAGGTCCAGTAATTTCTTTTCACTAGACTTAGACATGGCGCTGATCATTTGGTATGAGATGCGGTCTAGACCAGGTGTCCTCCCCTTCAAATTGGAGAGACAACTGGTAAGTTCTAAGGTGGATATGCAATTTTCCAGGAACATGGCACATCTATCAATATTATTTGAAAGAGATATTGGAGTCCTTTTATTTTCGATGAAAGCGCTGGAGATGTTGCTGTCAGAGGAGTATTCGCACCACAATTTTCCAAAGTAATTAGAAATCTCATCTGCATCAGTTAAAGTTCCATTGGGAGTGCAGATGGCAAAGATTTCGTTCAGATTTGAAGTTCCATTAAGTTTGCTGATTTTGTTCCAGACAACTTTCATTGATGTATTTCTGTGAATTCCTCTCGAAAAAAGTTCAAAACTAAGTGCCTTTGATTTTCGTAGTTCCTTCCTGAATAGAGCATTGGCCTTTTTGTATAATAACAAATGATCCTGATCAGGACATCCTTTAAAGCGGTGCCGTCGATCCATTTTATTTTTCCTCAGAAACGAAAGCGTGTTGTTACACCAAGGAACCCTAGCTCGTTTAAAAGAGGTGTTGGATTGAGGAATAGAAACATGCGCAGCCGTGCGAATCGCTTTAGACATAATAGCAGCACCATGGTTGCAGTTCCCGTTAAATGGCTTTGAATTCAAAATTGACTCCACCTGTTTGGAGTAGTTGATCCAATCCCCTTTATCTACGCGGAATTTGGCTTGTTTTACTGGAGTAACAGTGGACGTTGAAAGTTTAAGATCGATTATGATTGGAAAGTGATCACTATTATGTAGATCATCAGAAATAGACCAGGAAACCAAAGGAAGAAGTGAGGGAGAGCAACATGTTAAATCAATATGTGGAAAAGTGTGATGAGTTGAAAAGTGCGTTGGTTTTCCGTCATTTAAAATGCAGAGATTGCTTTGAATGAAGGCCTTTTCTAAAACAGTGCCACGAGTGTTGTTCACTGTTGAGCCCCAGATGGTATTCCAGCTGTTAAAGTCGCCGCATATAATTAATGCGGGGGAAAGAACGGAGAATAAATTGTAGAGCTCTTGCTGAGAAAACGATTGCGAAGGTGGAATATAGAGCCCAAGGAATTGGCAAAAGTAATACCTACGCTGCTGTTGCCTCGCAAAACAAGCCTAGTAAGCCTTTAAGTCCAACTCCCTCCAAAGAAAAACCTGTTCCCCCCTTAACCAAAAATTATATTGCGAAACCAGTTACATCACCCGCCAAAGATAATATTGAAAAAACCAAAACAACACCAAATATTGAAAAAATTGAAACAGCAACATATATGCTAAAATCCAATATACTAAACTCTCCAGAATCTCCCGCTCCCAACTTTACTCAACAATCTACAAATGGTAATGAACCCATTCTTTCATCCATTAATCAACCTTCAATTTCAAATTATTCACGTGCGCCCACTCGTTGCCCTTCAAATGTACCAAACCACTTAAGTACAGATTATTCCGCTAGTAATAATAAATCACTCACGAAAAATTCCTATAGCGACCTTCTCGACGGAGACGCTGACATGGCAACCTAACCCTCCTTCCACTCTGCTTCCATGTCATTACAATTAAATAAGGTTTTTAAAATTCTACAATGGAACAGTAAGGGACTTATTAACAATTTTGATGAACTCCGTACACTCATAAGTGGTTTTAATCCAACCTTTTTATCGCTTCAAGAAACCCATTGTAGATGCTCTTTTAATCCTACTCCACCCAAATCATATACTGAATACTTCACGAATGCTGATCAAAATTCATATTCCAAACAAGGAGTTTGTGTTTTTATAAAATCAAATATACCTCACAAACGCATAAATTTTAGCTCAAACATACAAGCCGTAGCCATACAAATAATGTTAAACATAAAATTTACAGTGCTTTCGCTCTATATCCCACCTTCGCAATCGTTTTCTCAGCAAGAACGCTACAATTTATTCTCCGTATTCGAACGAAATTTTAATTTAAAGTCGAACGTTTGATAATAATGTGAACTAAAATCCTTACGCGGTTCTCTAGAAAGTAATATGCCGACGGTGGTGTTATACATTTCAATTTGTCGCTGCTGGTACCAGATTCATATAGTAGCGCAATGTGAATAGCAATATGAATTGAATTTCTAGCAAAAATATATTATTTTTCTTATTCGTTATAGGTACCTAAATTTGTTTACTAATTACGTTAATATTAAATTATAAAATTTATAATAGCATTAAAAAGGATGAAGAGGTTAACAATACTATATTGTTTTAAAGTCACGTTTCTTTATTGTATTTGCATTGAATATTCCCTCCCTGTGTACATGTGTGTAAATATTTTAAACAACTATAAAGTGTAAACATATTTAAAGTGGCTCTATAATTATAAGATCACAATTTACATTAATGTAATAAGCTGAAGCTAAAGGTTATATGATTATATTATAAACAGAAAAAAAAAGTTGAGAAAAAAATGAATATTACATTTTGTAGCTACTGACTGAAATAAATATAATACATAATAAATAATTTATAATATAAAACACTAAGCTATATAAATATCTTTTCACTTTAAGCTCATTTGTATGTGTGATATAGTTAAAGCTAAGTACATTTAAGCTATAAACACAAAAGTAGAAGGATACACTGATAATTCATTGAGATTACTATATGCAATGAAAACTTTTATTATTCGTTGTTTGTAATGAGTGGAATTTTGTTGAGATAGTTTCGTGTATGTTTAACATTTAACTTTTATATTTATATATTTAAAATATCTGTAAATAAATATATCAACACTTATACGAAACTATATGAATTTGTTGATTGTTCAATACTACTTGTTAATTAATTGTTAAAAATTTTCTTTGTAAAATATTTTCGGTTGTTTTATATACTTTAGATATATGAAAGCATACACATATACATACATACATACATACATATATATATATATATATACGTGTGTAGTGGGGTTTCGGTATGTGAAAGTATTTTGTTAGGCGTATTTTTCTTTTTTTTTATTAAAAATTAATCAGAATTTAAAATTTTTCTTTAAAAGATGAAATCAAGAAGGAGCGTCAGCGGCAAATTTATAAAGTGACTGAACAGCGGTACCGCAGCCGAAACATCGCCCAAGCAACCACGCCGACGAGCGCCCCTCCTGCCGAGACGCTACACAAATAAACGTGTCTATTTGGCACAATTAAAAAAAAACATGTTTAGTAAAAAAAATATATATAAAATAAAAAATAAACTATAAAGCACATTCTCTGCGACTGCCTTAAGTTTTCCTTGGCTAGAAGTATTGCATTTGGAGCGACTAACCCTTTGAACACCCTAAAATCAGCTTCAGAACCGAATATAAATTCAATATATTACTTTATTAATACTACTAAGCTCATTATCTAATGTACATTTATTTATATTAGAGCCGATAGCCTGTCCTGCTAGCGCTCAATGTCTTTTTTTTAGTCTAAGAATTAATTTCATTAGTCTAAAATTATAATAATAATAATAATAATAATAAAATAAAAAATAAAAGTTCAAGTTTGTTTCCAATAATTTTCTACATATAACCATATATCTTTAAAAAAAACACATCGCAACAGTCACATACGCATGTTTCTCATTTGAAAATCTCAAATTAAAGAGGGAAGCACTTGTAGAATATATAGAAATAATGCGTGGTAGTTGGAATCGAAAGGAAGAACAGCTGTAGGGAAAGCCTGGTAGTTGAATTCGAATTGAAAGAGAGAAATGATTTAATATTGTATAACGCGGATTTTTTGTTAGATCAAAATTTTTGTTTTTATCCGCGTTAAAAATTGCATTCATGAGATAAAACCAAACTTCTTCTAAAGCATAAGTTATGAAAAAAAAAAAAAAAACAAACTAACACCAAAAAATTAACACCAAAAGAACTAACACTAAAAAAACTTACACCAAAAAAACTTACACCAAAAAAACTTACACCAAAAAAACTTGCACCAAAAAAACCAAGACCAAAAAAACCAAGACCAAAAAAACTAGCACCAAATATGAAAGTTTATTTTACTGTATTGTACTACTACGGAATACATATTATAATATAAAAAAAAGCAAAACATTATTGCAGTGGACAAGAAATTAAAATAACTTCAAGAACTCAAAAAACATATTATAAAAAAATCAATATTTCCCGCGGTATCCCTTTTATATATTTTAATAACGTCATTTAAACGTTTTTTTTAAACGTCTAATTTTTCTTCTGTAGGAAAAAGGGATCTTACTCCAACCTTCTTTTAGCCTATTTTTCAGATCTTTGGCGCAAGAGGTTGAATGTTTTCGTGATTCATTCCACATAATTGTTATGGGGTTTATAACTGGTGATTGGGTAAGATGGTGAGCACTTTGGGTTATGTAAGAGCCATTCTTGAATTAAACGGGACTTATGCTTGAAATCGTTATCGTGGTTTTCGATAAAATACAAAGTTCGTCCACACTTCTTTCAAATTTTTCTTCATTATTGTTAAATAACGCTCCTTGTTTGCAATGTGATCCATAAGCACCACTTTTCTGACTCCTAAACCCAAACTTTACTATTCTCGCCATAAACCGCTGGTACAAGAATGTAATAGGAAGCTAAGACTAGAATTTGCCAGGGAAAACGCTCAATTCTTAGTGGAACAGCATTATATTTGCTCTCATCAGCCAATATAGCGCAAAAAGTGAGCTTAAAAAAGTATGTTCTATGTACAACGGTGTAGTTTAGTTTGGCGAAGCCTTAAATTTTATTTGACATTTAAAACGGCAAAGAGCAAAATAATATAATTGATAGCTACAAAATATTTTTTGTATTTTAGTTGCGCAGATACTTTTTTCAATAATTGTCGATGTCAACAAAGCATGTGTAGTAAGTAGTACTACATAGTACTACGTAATATGTGACGCAATGTAAATTTTATAACATTACCCTAAGTTACGAGCTTGTTAATTAAGGTTTCAACAACATTGTTGTTCGCAGCTTTTTGTTTTCGTTTCGAATTAAGATTAAAATGTTAAAAAAATGAAGAAATTGTTTTTAAATTTATCTGTCGGCCGCATTATTCAGCGACTTTCCAAAAAAAAAGAGTTGGTCCACTATTTTTGCATTTTTATAAATTTCTTGTAATGTAATTTCATAATAATGAAGAAATTTTGGTCGTTTTAATAAGGTTGTATTGGGCAATGTGTCGCCAGAACGTAGTGTGCCACTTCACATTGAAAAACCAGATTATTATTATTATTTCATGCCACCGGGAGATACCTCCTCTGGAGAACCAGAAATAAAAACTGATGAACAAATTCATCAAATGCGTGTCAGTTGCAAGTTGACAGCGAATACTTTAAAAGCTTGTGAAGGCATTATAAAGGTATATATAATTGTGGTTTTTATACAGAAATTGATTACAATATTATGTACTGCTTCCCTTAGGCTGGAGTAAAAACTGATGAGGTCGATGCATTTTTACATGAACTTATAATATCGTCGAATGCCTATCCGTCACCTCTACGTTACGCTGGCTTTCCGAAATCTATTTGTACGTCGGTAAACGACGTCGCTTGTCATGGCATTCCTGATGATCGGTGTCTAGTGGATGGCGACATTGTTAATGTTGATATTAGTGTCTATTATGGTGGCTATCACGGAGATTGTTCGAAAACTTTTTTAGTGGGTAATGTTGATGAAGAGGGTTGTTATTTGGTGAAAAGCACCGAAGAGTGCTTGAATGAATGCATAAGCTTATGCCGGCCTAATGTAGAATTTAATGCTATAGGCAACTACATTAACAAATTTTGCAATGAAAAAGGGTTAAATGTCATTCCCGCATTTATAGGACACGGAATAGGTACTTATTTCCATGGGCCGCCAGAAATTTTACATTTTAGTAAGAAGTAGCATTAGAAATTGCAACCATATGATGTATTAATAGTTTTTTTTTTTTTTTTATTTGAGAAAACAATTTTCCCGGTGCCATGCAGCATGGTATGACGTTCACAATTGAACCAATTTTGACTTTCGGAGGTCCTGAGGTGGAAATTCAAAAGGACGGCTGGACAGCAACAACGTTGGACGGCGCAAGAACAGCACAATTTGAGCATACTATTCTTATCACTGAAACTGGGGCAGAAGTGCTAACAAAACCTGATTAGATAATCACTTCAAATAAACTGAAAGTTCTATTTTCAATATTTATATACTAAAGGAGCGCGATTATTTGTTTCTCGCATAAATATAAAAAATCTCAAAAAACAGGTTCAGTATCTAAACATAAATGTTTACATAAACTATTTTTATGTAGATTATTTTTATAAATAAGTTATAATTTCAATCGGACTTCATAGAGATAATTCAGCTGCTCTTAGTTTAGGACACGAGACTAATTTCCCTTTAAAGGACGTCATATCAGTAGTGTCATTCCTGAAATTAAAAATTAATTTAGTTTCCCAAAGCACTTTAAACGCACGCTATATATGTGAACACTTTATTATGTTGCATGACAACGAAAAAATGGCAATCGTGGCATGTGGATGCAATAAAAGTTCTGAATGATGCTGCAACGGGAGAAAATGAAATGAAATAATTTATCAGATCCATAATTACTACTCCATGTAATGAGAAATAGCTACCTTTCAAAACTGAGTCGATTATATATGACATCATATGATAAAAAAATTGCCAAATTATTCATCAAATACTCTCTTAGCCGATGTTGCTGAAACAAAAAATGCATTTCTTTTCGAAGTTTTAATATGAAAAAGTTTCTTATTAAAGGCCTTTTGTGTACGTGTCGTGCCCATTATTCTGTAATGTTATACATTTATTATTGCAAAACTTAAAACACAAAAGGACATAGGATATAGATCCAGAGGGGTATGAAAGCTGCAATGGAGAAACTGTACCACTATTCTTTCTAAACCAAAAGTGCTATGACAAGTGCAGCCAACACTTGGATTCCATTAAAATGCCGATGCCCGTAGCATATCAGCAAACATGTAGAAAATACGGTGTTGTGATTAGCATGAGTGGTGGCATTCGATTTTACCCTATTTTGAAAAATAAAATGATAATTCTTTCCATATATTCATAAAAGTGCTTGAAATATAATATATAATCTTTTTTATATAAATGTATAAAAAATATGCATTCATCTCCCCTTGTACGTCTCCTCATAGTTTTATACAATTTTTATAGGCGTGGTATTCAATTTTACCCTATTTTCAAAAATAAAATGATAATTCTTTCCATATATTCATACAAGTGCTTGAAATATAATATATAATCTTTTTTATATAAATGTATAAAAAATATGCATTCATCTCCCCTTGTACGTCTCCTCAATAGTTTTATACAATTTTTATAGGCGTGGCATTCGATTTTACCCCATTTTCAAAAATAAAATGATAATTCTTTCCATATATTATGGATACGGTTCATAAGGAAAAATGCATACACAGATTGTGCCCCACTCTATCTAATGCTTCATTTCTTTTAGTATACGCTCTTATTATACGTTGGCTGGCATTCTCTCGTTTTATCAGCGTAAAAGTGTACACCAAAATTCCGAACTATATTGAATGGATTTTGAAAACGATTGAAGATCCGACTAAGACCATCCTTGCTTTGAGTACCAGATATTTGCTTGATATTTTCAATTTTGATAATTTATGATTTTTGAAGACGATTCCTTAAAGTTTGAATAAAATAAAATTCTCTGAAAATTAGAGCAAAATTAAAATATGATTTTTGGAATACATTAAACGTCATCAACATGTTTTTAATTGCATTTTGAACTTTTTGATTCATTTTGCGCATGTGGGTTTGGTGAGGCTCGATTTAAAGCAATTCAGCCCAATGTCCAGATTTCTGATTCTTTAACAGAAGTGCGAGCTTGGTTTCTCACACACTCTAATACTTTATTTACTTTATTCTCACTCACGCTACAGAATCGAAGCGTTGGAATTTATTGAAAGCAACTCTGTGCTCCATTCTACACACGCATGGTACTTCCTTTTTAAACCTTCTCAAGGGGAAAAAAACAGTTACCGGATTTTACCGAAAAATCAAAGCGCAGTGCAACGCCTACATCGAATTTAAATTTTTAAAATTGCTCACCTTTGACGTTTTGAATCAACGTCTGAACAACATTCACTTGGATATGGAAAAGGACATTAAAGAACTGAATAAGAAATACAATGCCTATTGTTGATGCGATGACCGCAAAACGCAAATGAACAGATTATCAATAATAATTTAAACAAAATTTATTACGCTTGAAAGTTTGGGAAAGCTGAGAGATGAAAAAGAGAATCAAATTGTATTTACGAGTAAGACCGCTAAGAATTACGTTGTTTTTGATGGAGATTTATTTAAAAACACTTGGTTTTTTTTTGGTGTGGCGATCGTTTCTTCTCTACAATAAATTGTTTTTGCAGAAGGTTGTAAGAACATAATAATAAATGCCGTTTTATGTAAAGGCCATGCAGGTGCTTGTTTTTAGCAAAATTGGATATGATCGATAGTAGTACCAACATCCTTAGTAACCAAGTCTTCAGAACCAATACTAACGCTTTTCGCGCGACATCCGTGAACAATATCATAGCTAAATCTATGGTTGGGGAATATGTGAAGAAGGTTATTAATGCCAAGCATATGCTATCTATCTAGTGTGCTACTTCACATTGAAAACCTAATTATTCTTATCGTTTCAAACCACCCGATGCAATAATGCAATGTGAATTCATTTGTTTTCTATTTTACGCATTTATATAAAACTAAGGTAATTAATTATGAATTTACAGTTTACCTAATTCTTTACCAATTCTTCTTGCAACTTTCAATTATATGGTCTGTGGAACTAAACGAGCTGAGTATGCATCTTCTAGAGATAACGCAATTGTTTTCTCAACTTGTGGCTCTTTTGTGCAGACTCCAATACCTTTATTTTTGGTTTAAATAAAGAGACGGTGGGTTTGATCCCTAATGTTCGCATCATAATAAACTTTCATGTTTTTTGTTAGCTCTCCATGGTCGCATTGACAATTGAAAGCAAGTGATATTCAGAGGAAAAGAAACAAACGAATTTAATGTTTTAAATATTGATTAATATAATATCGTTTATCTTTTTTGTATAACATATACTTTGCAATAGTATTCGCATTATTTTTTGCTTGTCGTCTATTAAAGGTAATTAAAAAAAATTGTTTTTAAGATATACATTTTCACATTTTTAACATTGCATGCATTTTGATGGGTAACTTTAGACTTTCAACAGAAAACTATGAAGACGTCAATAATTTTATTCTTCTTTTTCTTCATGACGAAGCGTTGCCATTTATTGAAGGCAACTCTATATATAACTATATATGCTATAAAATTCTTGAATAGAATTATAAAAAATTAGGAAGCAAAAATGAATGTTAATCCATTTGGTCTCATTGGTCCTAGAATAGTTTTAAATTCTTTATGTGTAATGATAATAAAATTGTATTACAAATCATATTATATATTATATCGGAATGGAATTAATCAATATAATGAAGGAATTATTAAAATCCCTGAAAATGTTCAAAAATAGAAAATATGTTAGTTACCATTAAAATGGTACAACCACAATGTAGAACTTAATATGTGGAAAGAATCACAATGTAGAACTTAATTGTGGAAAGAATCACAATGTAGAACTCAATATTTGAGGAACTAAAAAACGTTAATCTTTTTGGTTTTAATGGTCGCTTTTCTTGGACTCCATTGCATATTTTAACATCTCTGTTTTTTGTCTTCCGTTAGAATATGATGTTAATACTTAAACTTTTAGGCATCTCTAAAGTTTGGCAGCAATAACACGCGAAAAACAAGAAACAGACTTTTTGACGAAAGAATCAAGTCCTGACTGTAAAAACCAATATGAATATCACCACAAAACGTTCAATATATTTTAATAAATTGGAACACGTTTATAGTTAATTAGGTTTTAACACCGTATAAAGCCATAAAAAAAAATAAATTACTAAGTTCTTAGAAACAGTAAGTTTAGCAACTCTGTGCGCGCGAACATTGCTAAGATTTGGCAAATACGAAACATGGATCCTCGTCATACGTAGACATAATATGCAATATTTGCTATAAACATGCCAGACATTGCTTGTAATGACCAGTGGCCTTCAAACGTAAGTATTCCAAATATACTAAGCGTAATCCGAAAACATAATGGAAATTGAACTCTTTTGTCTGACAGTTTCCAAGATTAAATATGAGATGGAATAGATTTTTCCTGTTAAAAATAAGTTTTTTGCTACACATTTCGTGAACTTATTATTATGAGTTAATTACGTGTCATTAAGCCCGAGATCAATTTCCAAAAAGAAAACACAAATTCTGAACGAAGCTTTAAAGTTCTTTGAAGTTAATTGATTCCAAGTGGACAATTCAAAGTGAGCCCTAAATTGAAATAAAAATTATATTTATCTTATAGTGAAAAGTCTTGTACATAACTTATAAGGTAAATAAAGATAAACCTTTACTAAGAATAGACGATATGTGCCTTTCAGTTTTCAGGGCCCTGTTAATATATGTCAAAGATTAGAAAAATTTTGAAAATTTTCGGTTTTCTTTGAGCTGCTTGAATTTTTCAGCATCATGAAAGTCTCCTTTAGGTGCATCCTCCCAGCGCGCAGATAACATTCAGTGTGAAAAATTTATTTTCTAAATTTTGTTCACGAGAACCCACGAACATTGACTTGCTAGTCGAGATTCCTCGCCTTCGGCGACTCAGGCGGATCGAAAAAAAAAAAGAAAAAATAAATGAAAAAAAAAATGTTTTTGATGTCGAGGTAAATAGGAAAAAAAAAGGAATTTTGTTTTTGATCAATACGGAATAACATGGAAAGCTATTGGAAAAGGATAGCCTTGTTTTTTTAGCAAATGATTTTGAAGTGAGAAGCCGGCGGATAATTTGTTCGTCTCAGTAATTTAAGAAATCAATTTTCATTGTGTATATTGTAATAAAAATTAAAAGCAACATCAAATATTCCTCAAATATTATAGAACAAAAAAAAAGAATTCATTAAAAAGAATAAATAGACCCAAACGTAACAACTTGGCAAAGTAAATGCCATTAGAACATAAAAAAATAAAAAGAAAATCTTAACAGTTTTGTGCACTACTAAGATACAAAATTTTAATCACCGAAAGCAAATATAATATAGAAATATCAAATAATTTGAATTTTAATGTATGTAAAAGTAAAAATGGGATTTACCAAAAATATGATTGTGGAGTATCAGTAAAACAACCGAGTCGAAATGTTCGTTAAGAGAATTCGAATAAAAATTAAATAATTAAATGAAAATTCAATTAAAAAAAAAAAAAAAACTTTCTATATAAATAAATAAATTTTCGGCTGCGGTGCTTAATTTATTATAAAAACATTTTTTTTTGTTTTTTATTTTTATTAATGTTTATTACGAAAAAAAAACAAATACAAATTTTACAAGAATTAGGCAAAATTTAGCTAAAATATGACAAAAGGATGTAGTTTCGAGACACTGAGTGAAAAGTTATTAAACACCTTTTTGAGTTTTCGAGTATGCGTGTAAAGTGTAGGATTTGGCACCTGAACATTTTGATAGCTTATAACCGCCTGATCGGGTGAAAACTAAGTTTATGAATTGCTCGTAAGTCCTACTCAGAAGTGTTTTAAAATTGTAATATTTTCCATTGAATCGAGTCATTTTCTTTTGCTGTTCCGCCACTTGAGGTTTTCGGTTAAAAACTAAGCTTATGAATTGCTCCAATGGAAAGACATAAACAAATTCCAGTATTAAAAAATTTTAAATGTTAAGAAATGGTGAAAGGAATTTGCAGTTGAATAACCGAGAAAAACGATAATATACGATAATATTTGGTAGGCGTGATCAATTTTTTCTATACCAAAATATATTTCTTTAGCTAGAAGAAAATAAATGAACTTACCGAAGTAAAAGGTTGAAGCCCGTTCAAAACTTCGTGATTGTGTAAGTGCTTGATTAGCTGGCGCCACAATATGAGATATTTCAATGGTTCTTCCTTGTTTATTGCATTTTTAGTTTCCCTATGGCAAATCCTTATGACTGTAAATATTTTATCAAAAATTTTATTAAAGATTTTATTACAATTTTTTCAAATATATTTCTGTAAAAGTAAGAGAAGGAGCTATGCCCGTGGCAACAACCATATATGCAAAACACAAATTATTGAAAAGCTATACATGTCAAATAACTGGCTTAGACTACGCATTAGTCAATTAAAGTTAATTGTCTGCAGAGTTTGTCAAGAATTTTGAGGTCCCTTCTACTTCTCATATAAACTATAAATCAAATATATTTAAATACAAGAGAAAAAAATTAAGTGCAATTACTTGCTCATCGCTTCATATAGATGGAGATTCGCTGTGTATAATTTATTCATTTCTAATCATCTGGTGAATATTCCAAATGAACCGAAAATGAAAGATTCGCACGAACGAAGCTGAGAAATTTTTATATTTTAAACAAACGTAATAAACGCACTTATCCTCAATATATATTATTTCACTTATATTTCACTCTTATTGGATTTTTTTATTTTTCACTGAATTTTTTTTAAATCAACTTTTTATCTTTCTCCCATTTGGTTTTTTTTTTATTTTATGCAATTTTCTTATTTCACTACGATTGTCGATATTGAATTTCGTAACTTAGAAATAGTTTTCTTGAGAATTCTTTTTTTCACATCAAAATATGATTTGAATTATCCAATTTTTCCTACGAATAAGTTCAGCACAGAGCTGTTTAATGAATTTAAGTTATTTCATTTTTCGCTCCACCATATGTTGTTCGCAAACTTGTAAATAAATGGTACGAATTGCGCCTCTCCTAACATTTCACGGCTTTTTTAAATATAATCAGACTAACCGACTTACCACTCTTTTAAAAAAAGTAATTATGGTCTTAAAAATGGTTTAGATGTTCCGGTGTTTTCTCTACAGGCACAGCTAAAACAAAGGAAACGACCGAATCGATTCTCAATAATACTCCACAAAAGTTTTTCGACAGCTTTACAAACATTTCGTAACACTCACCAATCGCGCGCGAAAGTTAAATAATGACTACGTTTTATTTACAAGGTTGCAAACGAGCGGAAGACTTAAGGAAATTTCTTTTTCATTAAGATTTTGCAACCTGGATGTGGTGGATGATGATGCTTTAGGTAATCAACCGTTCTTGGTGTTATACGATAGCGTGATGTTTATATTTTGTATTTATGCCTTCACTGGCTATTATTATTCAAAGTTATAGTTCTTATTGCGCACTGTGGGTTCATCTTTAAGATGTAATCATAGCTTAGATGGCTTTTCCCGCCACCCTAATTATTTGTCAAAACATTAATTGTTGGCTATGCACAACATGGACTAGAAATCTTTATCCACTTTGGGGTTAGTCTCGGACAAAATGCAACAAACTAGTTGGTTTGTCCATGGAAATTCTTCTCGTAAGAAAAATCTTGAAAAAGTTCAGATCAAATGTTCTCAATTCTGCCATGTATTATCATTTATTGGCTTAAAGCTTCAAGGCACGCTATTATTTTTAATTTTACGTCATATAATAATCATGGCAGCGTATGAAAGCTAATAGACGTACCTGGTTACTCTTGATCCCCGAATAGTACCTTTATAATTCTCTAATGCAGGCCTATCGAGTGCGGTAAACGTTAAATTCGTTCGCTAAATTCATACGACCAACGCTTAAAAAAGATCGCTTAATAGAACGCTTTATTATAATTTGAAAAAATGAATTTTTAATTTAAAAAAAATACCTTTCACCAAATGCACAAGTTAAAAACCAACAAAATTTTAGCTACAGTAAGTCAATCTAAGTCCTTTGTGATGTAGTTGCCGATATAAGCGCTAATGAAGTTTAGGCAATGAAATCGTTGTAGTCGTCCGTCAGCTTTAGGTTTAATAATTTTCCTAGTTTTGGCGTAGTCGAAAATATCGTGCTGAGTGGTTTTACGTAATTAGCTACGATATCTGCACTTGCACATGTCTTCACTCTGTGCATGCCCAGCACGCGAAGAATTTACTTCAAAACAAACTGGATTGTCTGTTTATTAGAAAAAAAATGAAATCACATCCACCAAAGACAGTGAACAAGCATCGAATTATGCCGAGAAAGAATATTCTCAAGATATGCCGCAGATTAAGCCATGGCAAAAGGTATCGGGACCACCGATATTACCACCACATCTATTGCTAGTTATACTTAACAAGGATACGCTATTATCGGTGAGTAATGAGACAGGATATATAATATAAGAATAAATTAAAAAGAATAGTTGTTTTTGACGAAATATTACCTACAAGAGAGTGGAAAGTGAAAATTAAGGAATTTCTCTATTAACAATTGGAAAGCAAAAGACCATTAACGTCTTGTCTGATCATTCAAACTTGCAATACTAAAGAAAAGGTGTTTTATATATTTTATAGAGCCGATAGCCTGTCCTGCTAGTGCTCAATGTCTTTTTTTTAGTCTAAGAATTCATTTCATTAGTCTAAAATTAAAATAATAATAATAATAATAATATATTTTATATTTTTGCATTTGGTTTTATCTTTTCAAAAATGATGTAAACATTTAATTAATGTGTCTGAAAATTACCAAAAATTTTGTGTTTGTTTATATTTGACACGTTTGCATGAAATTTTTTACTAGAAACATCTGCAGCTTAATTCTCTGATTAAATAAAATTTCTTTATTGTACACAAAAAATGGTGTATTATTTCAAGCTTTTTGATTTGTCTACATATTATTTTTCGCACATTTTTAGGGCGAAATGTCAAATAGACTTTTTGCGCCGATTTTTTTTTTAAACGGTCGTAAAAACTCTGCAGTCCAAAGTAGATTTAATAACGTTTATCATTCCATTCCGTCAAATTTCATCAAAATATGTCGATAATTACGAGATTGAACGTTGACATGTCTACAGATCGACGGGAGTACTGAAATCAATACTCGAAATGACGTCAAATCAATTTTTTTTATCAAAAGACGGACCTAAATAATTTAAACTGAAACCGAACGCAACTACAGTACTAAAAAAATTATTATAAATATTTTTTGATGAGCAGAATAACTATACCAAATCTTAAAAGAGACCGTCAATAAATATATTTTGCTGATATGTTTAAATATTTGCATAAAATTTCTTACGTATATATTTTAAATATATCCAGATACAGATCTTTTATTGGATCTGGAATTTTTATAATCCAGTATACACTTCAAACAGTTGAAGACGAGATGCATTAAATTTGTCGGCTTCGATGCATCCGAACTAATGCAATCTATACCTAAGTATAACCCCTTGATCATCACCATTAATAGGTTCACTTAATAGAATATTCTCCATAATAAACATGAAAAACATGAAAATTTTACAGCGGAATTCTCGACGTTATATGAATTTCGTACTCTCTTATGCGAATCATTTATCAGAACTGCCTAAAGAGCAAAAATTGCTTTATCAATAAACTTTTAGTAATGTTAACAAAAAAGTGTGCTACTACATGTGTGTAGTTTGTTGTTATCGTTGCTCGACCATATTTAAAAAAAAAAAAATTTAGTATAGTATTATGCAAATTTTGCTCCAGTGATACGATTTCTGTTGAAACCGCAAGTTTATCCAAAACGGCGCATACAACATACGTCCATTCGTCAAAGGCGTTCCTTCCACCTAAAATTTTTTAGATAAGGACTGCTTCTAGCCGATTTTATATTGGCACCAAAAGAAGCAGATTGACTTGGCGGACTGAAGCCGAACAGCATATGGAAATATTCTACAACTCCAAAAGAACACAACATTACACCAACAACGCTTGGTCACGCTTGGGAAAGATTCATAGGCAATCTTTCCATAATAAAATATTTCTACACAACAACTTTTAAATTTTAGTACATGGCGATCCTGCCCAACACAATCCTGTGATCGATTCTGCGGTAACCTGCTATATTTCCAAAAATTTTTCCACGCACGATCAAAATATTGACTAGCGACGACGAGCCTCCTACAAAAGCGCCCAGACAATGATCCCTCCCGAAGAAAACACTCCAACATGTGAAGCAGAAAAAGGAATATGGTTTTTCACACCCTTCGACTGCGAACACGCCCATCCACTATTTTTCGACGACTAGGTCGAAACTGTCGATTACCAAGATGTAACGAAAGAGCGAATAACAACCATTTACATGTCAACGATCACGTGCTAATCAGGCAAAAAAAAGCTGGACCCACCCAAACTTACACGTACATTCATAATTATTATTATAGTTATAGAAGTTATTTTAATTAAAAATAATAATAATATACAATTACCAATATTAGACGCACTCATACAACACCAATAAATAACGATCCCACCCAACTAAAATGCAATCGCTATGATCCTCTTCTTATAATACGTATTTCATCAAGGTAAAGTCACTGCTGCACAAGATGCAGCGTACAGACCGGAAATTAACCCAAGAGAAATTCTCTGCCGATCAGTGTTTACTAATGCTAATAGTCACATTCCTCTATATAATACAAGAGTTTACACTCAATTTCAAAGAAGTTTAAAAGGGCAAATGAATATCCAGACGATTGGGGTACGTTCTCGGAAAATTTGGTCTAATTAGCTCCCAAGAATACATAAAAGTAAGAAAATAAATAAGAGTACATAAAAAGAACACGAGGAATATTAAATATGTCAAGATTGTTAAAGAATAAAGAAAGAATATGAAGAATATTAAAATGAAGATACAGTGTATATATATATTAAAGAATATGTGAACAATATATGAGAAATATTAATCAAGAATGTTAGCAAATAATATTAAAATGAGAAATATTGGAAAGATAGACAAATATATTTGAATATTAAATAAGGGCACATAACTATATAAATGAAGAATAGCAAAAACAAAAATATCAAGATTAAATACATAAACAAACAAATAAAAATAATTTAGAAAACAAGAACAAAGTCATAAAATAACAACACAAAACATTGTATCGAACAACAAAAACTAAACCCACCCAAATGCAACTTCCTACAACTAGATGTAGTCTATCATACGTTTAAGTTTCTGCATAATTTTAATAAAAAATAGATATAAATAATTCAGTAGGTATGGAAAAGCCTCCAATTAACACGGCCCATAGTGTTTACCTCTCCAGCATGAAGAGGTAAATGTAAAAGTAAACAGTGCCGTCAAATTTTTTCTTTTCCTTTCTTTTCGCCTAACAATGAAGAATTTCCAAATTTCACACCCAAAGATTTAATTAACTGTCAGGCATCTGCATTTATGTCATATAGATCTGCACCTTTTTCACGAAAACGATTTATTAACCATTTTTATGAAAACAAAAAATTCCAATAAATTCTAATCATTGTTTAAATGTTTAATTTATTACCGAATAAGGGAATGCAGTTGTCTTTTTTCCATCAACGGGAAAGAAAAAAAAAAGAAAAGTCGAATTTATGCACGATTATTGAGTTTACGTGATTGTTACTTAACAAATAATCTAAGAATAAAATAAGAAGCTATCAATAATTATTATAATTTTTCACTAAGTTAGCATAATGAAGTTTTATTATGTATATTTTCGAAGAGAATATTCAAAATTTGTAATAATTGAACACATACAAAACTGGAACCTCCACTTTTTTTGACGCATTGTATGCAAAAATATGATAACGTATTTTTCTCAAAGGAAAAGCTGGAAAAAGGAAAATAATTAATACATAATTATAAAGAGCGCTGCTTACTCGAAAACCGAACTGTTATGTTGATCATCCCATATTAAAATTTCCGCTGTACTTCTTAACGATTCTACCAGCAAACCCCTGATATTTCGCATAGAGTGCAGGATAGCTTTCAACCAATTTTATTAAATCTACGTCATCAAGATTAGAAGGCATTCTTTTAATTATTGATTAATTCCAGTCTTGTTCATCAGACAATTATTGTTCCATACTATCGGGTAAAAATGTTGGTTTCTTTACATGTTTCGTTATTAACATATCGTTGGTGTTGGTCTCGACAAAATTATTCTAATAACGATTTGGTTGATGTATAATTACCAAGCGTTCTTGAAAGCTGAAAAAATAAAATTTTGTTTTTCAATAGCCTCCCTGTATAAAGGAAAATCCTTTATGACGAGTTTGACTTTTTTTTTTTTACTTTGATATGAGAATCCACAAGCGGTCAAAACAAAGGCTTATAAAGGGTGATATACAAGGTCTCCGACGTTTGTTCCCAGTAGGTGGTGTTCATGTCAATATATCGGGCAACACCGATATAAATAAAATATTGAAAAATTAGCTATATACGATGAAGCTTCGCAGACTTATAAAAAATTTCATAACGTCTACAGTGTATGTTCTTAATCAACATCAACATCGTTGTTCGAAAAGACTAAAAAATTCATCGAATGGAAGCAGTAGTGAGAAGGGTCAATGTCTGATGAATACTTCGACAAGGTAGGGCATTCTAATGCATAGTTGTTGGGACGAGCATTGCTTCTCAAACTGAGATTGATAGCTAGTGCCAGTTTAAGGAGGTTGGAGACTTCTCATATCAGTCTATATCCAGTTTTTTTGACAAAGAAATCAAACCTTTTGAAAAATCACGTTCTGTATACTAATTCGTAATACTCTGTTAAGCCCATGAAAGGGCGTGCAGCGAGAAATAATAAATATCCAACTAGTACGTACGCATACTTTTTAGAAATTCTTCATACTTCATGAAAGGGAAAAGGATTGCAAACTCTGCAAAGAAGTAAAGTGTTGGTAAAGTGTTCGCCGTATTCTTTATAAAAAAATAATAATAATGATTATAAAAAAATTGAATTTTCAAAAGCAAAAAGAAGAGAAAACAATTTTGAAACCTTTTGTGTGAAAGATAATTTAAAGCGAAACCGTCTGTAGTTAAAAGAAAATTCCTGGCTGTCGGTACTTCGGGGCCCAAATATCAGGCCGCATCTCCAATAATTAATATTCATTACGAAGATTACAATTATTCAAATGCCGAGAAATTTTTTTGAAAGAAAGTGCAAGTTCATCTGAAGTAGCTTCCGAAGCCACAAATTATCATTCTCCGGATAACGATGTTTACATAAATATAAAAATCATTGAATAAAAGTTTAAAAAGTAAGAATAAAAAACCTATTAGTCCTATAAAACATGTACAGAACACATATAGAGATACTCGGGTTAATACCGGCTAATTCCAAGTAACTTTAGCTTTCTTTTTGTTGTATAATGTTTGCATAGAAACCCTTGTTTGGAGTAGCGTAGTGGTTGTCCCGAGGAACGAATTCTTTTTGCAAGTGTAAGAAAGATATACAACACCTAGAAAGACTTGAAGTAGACCCACCTTTTATTATTCAGAATCTGTTCCTATCTGTCCGTTTGCCAGTTGTGTAGTCTTTTGTTCAATCTACAGATTGCAACTAAAACTAAAAATCGTTTCAAGAACACTTTCGATTATTGCATTTATCTCTGCTGGGGTATTATATAATACTTTTTGAATATTTTCTTGGTCGTCTAATCACATCAAAGATATGATCTAGGAACCGCGCGTTCATCAAATTGAATGAATGTTTCGCATCATTATCTTACTCAAATTTCCATAGCAGTGACATATGTTCTTCGACACAGGATAGCATTGCAGTGGACAATTTCAGCGCAGATGTTTCATGAGAATGCCATATTCAGAGGGCTTACTGTGTTTATATTAAGATTAGGACATATTTTAAAGAAAATTGTTAAAGAATATAAAGGATATATCTTTTTTATTATAATATTAATGTATTTATATATTATTCAACAGACTTTATATATACATTTTGCTTTATTTGTAATGTCCTTATAATAATAATGTGTCATTTTTATAATTTAGTTTCTTTTGAAATGAGTATTTATCGACAGTACCACAAAATATATACATATTCTATGGTAGTGTAGCTAGAATTTGCTAGTTGCAATGGAAATTTGGTAAATTATTTGTTATGCAGCATGTTGTTAATGGGAGCAAGTGTTTGTACATTTTTTATGTATATACCTAAGGTAAAGAGTAACGTGAAATTCTCACCAGTATTCTATTTAGCAACACATCTCATTTCATTTTCATTTATTATTCATTTATCTGATTTTCATTTATTATTCACTTATCTGAATCGGTAGCAATATTAAGGTAACATCTCTTAAAATTAAAAGCTACGATTAATAAGCTTCCGTTTTACTAGTATGGTGAAACTTTTATAGAAATTGCTTTATTAATATTGCTTAAAAGTATAAGAAATAAATTTGTTGTTGCGATTTGCCTCAGGATTCTGATTTGTTATAAATGCCGACGGCAATTTGTATTTTGCGATGAATATGTTTAACAGATTTCGTGAGTTACAAAGCTCTTTTAAGAGATTTCGTGAGTTACAAAGCGTTATAGTTCAGAATTTAATTATAATAAATGCACTTACCGCAGTAAAATTGTAAAACTCTTATTTTCAGATATGTATATGTTCACAATTTTATTTCGGTTTTATTTCAGTTTTATTTCAGTTTTTTAAAAGATTCCGAGTAAGTTTTATGCATCTTTAAAAGATTTTTAGTCAATTTTATGACAATTTAAAAGATTCCGAGTAAGTTTTATGCACTTTTAAAAGATTTTTAGTCAATTTTTAATATTGTTCAAGTATTTGTATAAAAATTGCGTGTATGCGAGAGTAAGCGTATAAAAATTTGCCTTCAACTGAAAATGATTCTCAATAATTCGAAAGATGTGAGAAAAAGAGTCCAATTTGTTTACATTTTTTAATATTGTTCAAGTATCGTTTCTATGCTAAGAGTTAAAAATATATATATATATGTATACATATATGAGTTTAATTTATCATTTGCTTCTCTTATTGTATTATGTACTGCGTTAAAAAAAAAAAAAAATTACGTTTAATTTTAAACGCTCATACCAAATGCTTAATGTCGTGGTTTGAAATTAAACGCTCATACCAAACGCTTTTTTTTTTTTTTCTTTTTTTGCGTTCAATCATTTTCAATTACCACAACATTCCTTTTCGTTTTCAGCCAAAGTTTGCAACACTGTCTGACTTTCAAGAACTCAACAAGAACACTTACACACACACACACACACACAATTACATTTAACACTCCAGTTATTACGGCCGCTCTTTTTTTTTTTGTTACGTTTTATACATAACTAAAAATTACAACAATTTATTATTTGCACATATAAGCCACAAATCTATTGGCTTAGTCCATCTCTGTTCAACATACCAAAAAAAAAAAAAAAAAAAATACCAAACGCTTAATGTCTCCCAATGGAAATAAGCAAATATGGCATTGATATTCCTCACACTCGTTTTATGCTAATTTTTTTATTTATTTTTTTATTTCTGCAGGTTTTCAAACAGCGAATGGTAAAAAAATCTCCATATCAGAAGAGAGCAAAATATCCATACAAAATATTCTAAGAGAATGTCAAGATGATTTGCAGGAAACGGATTATGACACTGAATTAAAAGATATAAAAGCTCGGATATCGAATAAAAGTATGGAATCCAAGTTTAGAACAACCGCAACCAGAAAAAAACGAATGGCTCTTAATAATGAATCCAACCAAACTGGGCATTCGACTGTAAATGTCTCAAAATTTCGTAAAAAGCACTTGTTGTCATTAAATCCAAAATTTATTTTTAAATAACCCATCGCAACAAACACTTTTTCAACCGCTTTGATTTGTCATTGGGAAAATCAAACTTCTTTCCTGTTGTTGTATATTAATTTATATAATTTATATTTAGCTTTATTTATATAATAGCTTTATTATATACTTAACATAGCTTTATTAATATATATAGATATATATATATATATATATATAAAAGAAATTGTTATTCTTTTTAATGATTTTAATGGTTTCCTGATTGTTTCCGATTCTTCTTTCTTCACTTGGTCGTTTTTTATCTCTCCTCTAGATGTTTAGATGTTTAGTGTTTTAGAAAATATGCGAACTAAACTTATTAAATTTTACAAGTTATCCGCCTGAGTGACAAGAGTCTCGACTTTTAACTCAATGTCGTGCCAGTGCATGCATAATACCTATGGAGAGAGGTGAGTTAAAATGTATAACTAGTACACATATATTCGTACAATGTTTGCTGACTAGCCCTTCAGAGACTTTAAATGATCGTAATCCTATTTTCTTAGTCATAGATTCTCAATGTCATACATGCTTGAAAGTGTGAAGATTTTTACCTAATTGAATGTGTCAAAGGTTAATATCGAACATTTAAAATTTGTTGTATTTTACAAGTTAGCTTAGAATTAAACCGTCATAATTTTTAAACAACGCCCTCGCTAAATTCCCTGTTGAAAGGCAAAGCACAGAGTCGTGTATAATAAATATGCCCAACTAACAACTTAAATGGTAACGCCATTCAGTCTGTTAAATGCCCAATAATACAATAAACACAATAAACTTCCAGTATTAAATGCTAATTATTAACTTTTAGCAATTAAATACTAATTATTATTAACAATTGCATTTTTTTTTGTATCGATTTACCTAAAATATCAGCCCTGTGCTCTAGAGTTTATTGTTAATGAAAATGGGGAACTTTTGCCGAGGGCTTTGCAATTAACATAAAGTATTACGTTCTTTCTGTAATTAGCCTAGAATATTACGTTCTTTCTGTATTAGCAGAGAATTTAACGTTGGCCTTGCTTGCTTACTTTAGGTGTAAATTAATGTATATTAATTTAAAGTTAAAAAAGTAAAGAAAAACCGCAATTTTATAAACAGCTTGTATATAAACGGTTTATTTATTTTCACTTTATTTTCACATTATTTTATTTATTTGTATGCTTTATTCACTACTTATTCACTACTACTGTTGTTTTTGTTGTTAAATTGCCAAATTGTTTGTTTGTTTGTACAGAATTTCAACAGATGTTTTTTATTGATTAACAGAGAATTTGGAACACATTGTGGACTTTTGCCGACGGCTTTGGAAATTAGCATGGATTATTGCGTTCTTTCTGTAATTTAGCATAGAGTATTACGTTCTTTCTGTAAATAGCATAGAGTATTATGTTCTTTCTGTAAATTAGCATAAAGTATTACGTTCGTTCTGTAAATTAGCAGAAAATTTAGCTACTGTTTTGGTTAATTTGATAAAAAAAAAAAAAATTGTGGCTAACTTGACAAAACAGACAAAACACATTGAAATCTCTTAAAATCTTTAAATCTTTATTATAGTTTACAAGTAGAAAAAGAAAATCGGCTTGGAAGCAGTTTGATAAGCAATTTAAGGCTCCCCTTTTTTGACTTGAATTGGACGCGCAACATTAGGTCCCATATCTATACTTCTTCTAATTGCTTTTGATTTAGTACAACAAAAATTTTATTTTATTTGTCAACTAGAATTGATAGCCAAAATCTGTACACATTTAATAAACTAATATAAAAATATGCAAAATAAATATATATACACACACGAACTTTGAAATATTATGGAATTTATTGTGACGTTGACGTGGTTGTCGTCGCTATGTTTTTAATACCAAAGCCCAATGCCGTTAAGAAACGAAGTGGCAACGGAATGAAAGTTTGCGATAAACGTATTTAATTCTTTCTCAATTGGGACCAAATTCAGACTCTCAATTGGCACCAAATTCAGAGTCTGATATAATCCCACTACCAGGAAAATTTAGACGTGTTTAGAAGGAGAATAACAATTAGAAGACAAAATCAATTAATGAGTATACAGGACGAAATTACGAATGATTGTGCTGGTGTTTGTGCATTTTGCGTGGGCCATATTCAGATAGCATAATAAACGAATAATGGGAATTTTTATGAAACCACTCAGAAAGATTTCGTGAGAGCAAGAAGATTTCGTGAAGAAGAGTTCTCTGAGGACGATAGCGTCATTTTTTCGGTAGGAAGTGATAAGCCTGAAAATGAGCTGAATTCTGAAAATGAAATTGGACCTTTTCTAGCAAATCAACTTCATCGAGTGAGCTGTGACAGATGTATACAAATCAGGCGGCGGTGTATTCACGGGCGGAAGATGTGTTTCGGGAATGCAACTTCAGCAACAAGTCCAAAACGAAGACCAAAGAGGATGGCACTCTCCTCGTGTTCGCAGCGCGAAGTCTGTTGACCGTATTCAACATCTTGCTCAACAGCTACCCCTGCACATCTATAGGGGCGGAATAGAACCGCTATTAGAGGAGAACCTCCTAGCCACTGAAAAGATGGCCTCGGACGTGAGGACTGTCGTCTTCGACAGAGGATTTCTTGGAAATGCCAGGGGCGATTGCCATTTCAGTACAGATGCTGTATGACAGATGCATGTATTCAGATATTCAGTACAGATGCTGAATGGAATCGACAACGTGGAGATCGCGGATGATGATGGCGATGGATGGAATGTTGACGAAGTTACCGAACTTCCAACAACAGCGGTACATGAATGGAGATTAAAGCTGAACTGGAAGATGTTCATGATTATTTATCTGAAAATTTAGCGGCGGACCATATAGCGCTGCACCATATAGCGGTGGACATCTGGCTAACAATCAGAAATTTCGCAGCACTCATGGACGAGTTACTAGAGGCTTACCCTGGCATAAATATCGCGCTATACAGGGTAAGCCAGGATCTGTGTGAAAGGTTCTTCATCAGAAGAAATAGCGGCGCTGGTAAAAACACTGATGACCCTGCAGGTGGAACGATGGGCAGAAGGAGTCAGAGCTGATGACGACTACCTCCTCATCGATGAAATGAGCTACAAATTCGAAGTGGAGTCCGAACAAGAGTTTGTACCATTCGGCCTTGATGGAGAGGTATTCAGCGATCTGATCCTCCAGCGGATGATACCCAGAGTATTTATAATAATAAATAAAGCCCCACTTATTAATATAATATAAATATTGTAATGGAAAAATTTGGTGTGCACAAATTATCGTGTTTATTGGAAAGATTCTCTAGCTATCTTTCCAAAGTGTGATTAAGTGTACCGCAGTTTAGCCCTAAGCTCCTCGGCTTCATAAGCGCCAAGTCTGTCCGCCTCTTAAGATGCCAATAAGTCTCGGCAAGAAACGTTCCCTAAATTTTATGGTTCAGGCGGATTGAACCCCTTTGAGATTCAGCGGATTAATACGCTTGTTATTTTGAATTGCTTGATAACAATTCAGTTCTTCATTAGAAAGGTGCACTATTTATACTTAATTCTAACAGGTGACTTAATGCTAACGTAATTACTAATTAATTGTGGCGCCTGGCATCGTATTACATTGCGTAATGCAATACCCAGCCAGTTAAAGTGCGACAAAATTTTTGTTTTTCTTTTTGGTATAGAACCATGTAAATTCAGCATAATTCTGTCGCACTTCAAAGTGGATGCATATGACGGTATGCGATCACACTACAATATATAATATAAATGTGTATAATGCTTAAGATAAAATAAATAAATAACTATATGATGGTGTGCTGCTTGACAGGTTGTGATTACTGAAACACACAAACTTACCAATGGTATACAGCGAATTTTACACTATGATGAGGCGGTGAGCGAAGGTGTATGGTTCCTTTTCAATGTAAAATAAAATAAAAATAAGTGAATAAGTGGTATATTATAATAATATTTTTATCAATGTATATACTGACTTTTTATTTATTTATTTATTTATTTT